TTTTGGAATTAAAATAATATATAGGTGTACATTTTTTCGCACACCGGGTGTATAGTAATCACATACCTGCACACCTACTGTGTGACGCGATAAATAGATGTGTTCGTGGCACCCTCAAGTTTTGTGTACACGAACTTTTGGTTCTCAATATATGCACACTAATACTTCTGCTCACATGCTCCCCCTTGCAAAATTATTTTTTAAAACAGGTGGTTGGTCAAAAGTAATGGGTCCTGTTTGATCATGCGTCCTGGATTACCGCATAAAGGATAGGCAAGGATTATTTCAAATAATATTCGAAGAAATTGAATGATTTTCTTGCCATTAAGCTGACGTAGTTATTGTTTACCTCAATTCAAGTTAGACTTAAAGATTTGCTATTGACAGGCTTTTTGAGATTCATATTTAAAGTAAATGAAGGGAAATTTCTCATTATGTGGTCAGTAATCCAGTATTTATCGCATTATTTTACTGAAGAAATGCACATTATGCCACAAAATGGAGATGGGAAAAGTGTGATTACAATAAATGTGTGCTCCATACTAGTATTAAGCTAAAGATTGATCGATAATTTATGGAATTTTTTGTACAGGTTCAGAAAGGTGCCTGGTTTGTCAGTCTGCTGGCGTTTTAAAGTCACATTTACGAATAACTTTACACTTAAATACATTAAGTGGGTAAATATTAACCATTATAAAAACTTCTGTAGTTTTTGGGTAAAATTAGCGAATCCACAGGCAGGTGCTGTTAGCTATTTCCGCACCCGAAAGAATCGACTTATAGCACGCAGTCCAGGGTCTTATTCTCTCTCCCTCTCGCTCTTCATCTACCTATCCATCTTGCTCTCATCGCGCATTGTGTAATAATTCTGGTCACAGGGCGGTAACCACCCGTCAATTATCATGTGCCGTTGATATGCTGAACCTGCTCAGGCACGCAAAACAATTTTTGTCTTTCGCTCTGGTCATGTATCATGAGCACGCTCACGCGTGCACGCACAAACGCACGGGCCGCATGTCATAATTGCATGCATGCACGCGTGCGCACGTACGTGCATGCCCGGGTGGTGCGGAGGCGCGAGCCCAACACCATTGGCTGCTGACTTTTGCACACACGCATGCGCTTACGTCAGCCACTGGGCTCAGTGAGCTCACGCGTAAGCCCGTGTGATGGCGATAATTGCATTATTACATACGAGTTGCGGTATCTTCACCACTTTCCTGTACGGAAACGGGTCGATAGGGGCTACAGTAATGCCAAATTTGCTACTTGCTCACTCGTACAAGGTCCTGTGAGTAAAATAGTGTCATGGCCTTAAAAGGATTCTCTGGTCCTCTCGCTCCAGCTCTATGAAGAGTCGTTGAATGTATATGAGCCCATCACAGGCAGTAATTGACTTATCAATAACAAGGTTGCCCCCAGTTTTGGCTGGTGATCATGGCTTCTTCCAGCAGTATTTGTGAATGCACAAAATGCCTTTGTATTAATTGAATAGCCTATAAGTGGATTTAAGCATTTATTCCTAATAGACAAGAATAAAATGTCACTACCGTGATAATAAATTGAGCACGGTAGCTTCCCCATTTTAAAATGTCTACCTATTCTTAAATTATTATAATCATTTAACATTGAATTTACTGCAGTACTGACTCTTCTAAGTTTACAAATAATATTCGGGTATTTATCTACTTGGGAATACGCTAATTAAAGCCCACCTCGGATTTTTGTTGAAGACTTGGGTTTGTTATTAAGCAGCCCAACCAGTTTAATAGTGAGATGGTCACATCTGTGACGCCAAATCGGCTATTTTCACATAGAATAAAAAACGAATGCAGGTAATTCCGTAACTACTAGATTCTGCTAATGTGCAGCTCAGAAGCACCAAATAAATAGGATGCAAAGTAACTTCGGCATTCGAAACGAACCTCTGCATTATAAGGTTGCGAATCCTAATTAACTGTTTTACCAGCCTACATTAATTACTTTTTTTCGGTAAAATTCGGAACGTCCAACCATCCGCTTACATACAGGATGAGAAGCATGTATTTTCGGACCAAATTAGCACTAAGATTGCAAATGCATTTCATACAAACAAAGTATTTAAAATATAACGGAGATTTTTGTTAACTTTTTCGTTTAGCTATCAGCTATTGTAAGGCTTGTGAGCCTGGGCTGGCAATATTGGCCCTACCATGGATGGTTAAAGTTGCCTGCACTATTTTTTCCCCCTACTGGATTCGAATTTAGATTTCATAATCTCCTATATTGCATGTGAGAAACCGAAGTAGTCAATATACTTAACGTTCTCTTTAAAGGCTCCAAAGGAGCGTCACTATATTGTGCGATTATTTGGTCGTACACTCAACCATTCCCCTAAAAATTAGCGCTACTATTTTCTTAAATGCACAAAGGCCTGCTTATACATGCTCAAATACTGATGAAGACATTGGTGCTGCTATTTTTTTGCTTTTGTTGTTGATGTAGTCGATGCTGCTGTTGTTCACGGACCTAAGCCAAGTGAGCAGAAAAGTGCGTGTGTAACTGAAGGGGTGGATATGCTCGTGCACATACGCACACAGCATTCTCAATCCTATCAGTCAATCATTCGACACGCCCGGGCGTATGCGCGCACGCGCTCTCGGGACATTGCCCATTTTCATTGGCTGAATGTGCGGGCGTGCACACACGCCTAAATGGAAGCGTGTGAGGATGTGTGTGCGCATAATACGTGCACCCGTCAATTAGGCGTGCGCACGTGGCGCTAATCCGATTAGTGATGAAGCGTTCAAAAACAGGTCGATATCTCAAGTACACAGCCGTGTCAGATTTCTAGGCAGCCTGCTAAGGCTCCTCCTTGTCACAAAACCATGCACACCTACGCGCTCGCCTTCTCAAAACGCAACCGACCTTACTCAACCGAGCTGTTCGTTGACAGACCGATAACGCCGAAGATTTTTTGCGCTAGCTTTTACACTACTTGTTATTTGTATGGTCAAACGTTTTTCGTGCTGTAGAAGGTTTTGAGAACTAAACCTTTCTATTGACTCCTTTTCATGCAAATGCAAAGGTATATAGTGGTAAGAAAAAAAAATGACGTTGTGAAGGTCATTAATGCGGCCCGTACAAGTAAGCCTCTTCCAACTGTCCATTTGCACACCGTGCGATTGAGTGATTCAAGCACTTTACTTTTTTTATTTTTCGGCGTTGGAATTACATCACTTTACTTAGAGTCAAAATTTCACGAAATAAAACCAAACAATGAATATGAGCAACGATAGTTGCAGTGGGAACGGTATCATTTGGGAGCCGGCAGGGATGGGGGAGGGGGAGGAGCCAAGCTAACGTACAAGCACCTTGTGAAATTGACAGCAAAATCAGAGGCACGTGCACCACTCCATCAGAAAAGCATCCATTTTAGAATTTTCAAGTTCGTCTTTTTGGGATGAAATATTGGGCAGTTTCAAACTTGAAATTTGGTGAAACCTCACTCTATCAAATAAGTATCTTTCGACCAGATGGATCAGAGGGTCAATAGGCCGCTATAAAGACTTCAAATTAGTCAATGCAATTCCCTTTTGAATTCCGAAAAAGATAATAATGTACTTTTAGATAGATATTTGAAAAAATAATTACAGATATTTGTGCTAATGACATATCTCACAGACGGGACTGAAAATCTGCTGAAAAAGAACACAAATACATACACCTAAAGGTTGTGAACTCCAGAACACGACTACTGGACAGGTACATTGGTGCTGACGGTGGCGGGTTAGATGGTCAAGAAGTCACAGTTTTCTGTGAGGTGACAACAGTGCTAATTGTACCAGCCGTCTAGCATGCCACGTAACCGTGAAATAGGCGGCATGAATGCGTGCGTGTGCGCGCGTATTCACCACTGTTAAACCTCATCAAGTAAGTACCCGTTTCTCTCAGCATATGGGCGCCTTATTGATACTTCTTTAATTTTCGTAATATGTTGTTGGTACTAATTACACAATTAACAAAAATATGCATTTTAGACAACTCTGCGTGGTTAGGAGATGCAGTCGTCACAAGGTTAGGAGGCACGATTTTAGGCAGAACTGCCTTATCTAGTCTCCATCACCTCATTGAACCTGATTCAATGAGTTGTATGAACTCTTTATAGAATAAGCACTTTTCATTTAAATTGTCAACAAATCAGCTTGCCAATCGGAAAGAACTCGGCAACAACTTGCAGCCCTATCGAACAGCAAATGATCAACCATACGACTATAAAATTTGATCAATTTTTCACGATGATTCCATCAAGGTGATGCTTATCTCAAACGCCTACCTGCCAACTGGCGACTCCAATTACCACAGCAAAGAGCAGTCTGACTGTTTGAAGTACACTTGCAACTTCTATCGTACCAGTGATGTCTGAAGAGTTCGAGTGTTTACGCGAGAAAAAAGAAAAACCGCATAGTCATTGAGAAGTAGGTTGCAGTGGCTGAAATTACTTGCTGTTTGTCTTGCCCTCTGAAACTAAGTGTTCACACTTCACCTTTTCGATATTTCACCTGCATAACTGATTGTCTTGATGTACAACACTTTTCGGTCGTGAAAATATCTTTACTTTTTATCATCTTATTCTCCATCGCATTTTAGTTTTCAAAACAGAGGAATCAATATTACCAATTCTAACCTTTGCCTCAAATCTGTCATTCGGACATAAACGAAAACTACATTTTGGGAAGACCTTTCATAAATAAAGAATACCATTAGGTGTAGGGTCCTCACGTGATGCCCCTCACAAAAGGACATAAAGAGTGCATGCTAGTCACACATCGACAACAATGATCAGGGAATGGCGCTTCATTGAGGCGAACTTGAAGTTTAAAAGATACTAAATAAAAACCTCAGAACTACCTACCAAAATTCACTTTCTAGTAAAATGATCCGAAAGCACCCGCCGCGTCGTTGTATATGAGGAATACGTGTCTTGAGTTGAAAGTTGAACATATTGTTTTAGAAAAGAATTACTGAGGGCAATGACTGAACCTAAGTGTCAGGGAGTAGGTTACTTATTTCACACTAAATTCAACTTTTATTTAACAACCAATTCATCGTAGCAACTACACATAAAACTGCTCAAAAAATCACCTCTACGGAATAATTACGGAAATACCGGAGCACTTTATCTACTGAAATCAGTAGCATACGGACAAAAAGAACGATACTTTGGTCGGATTCCATATCGACTGACCTTACTAGACGTCTAGAGTAAAATCGACAACTGAGTAAGGCACCATGTGAGCGTGACTTCCTGAAGCATTCAAGGGATCAAATCCACAGATCGTTTGAACAAAATCAACTATTTAACACTCCAGTGAATTTAAATTTTCGAAAATCGGTGCACCGCTAAGCCGCCTTTAGCCTATTTCTAAAGTCTTCACAAAAGACGGATTTGACAAATTAAATGGATATGAATTTGGGACAAATAGGGAAAAAACATGGTTTGTTAAAAGTAAAATAAAACTCCTAAAATTTGAATACATCTCAAAGATCTAACGCAATGCACTGCTAAACAAGAAAGGATAAGACGAGCGCGTTGTAGGAAGACACAAGTTATTTTCACAAGTAGAATATTTATAAAAGAACACGGATTAGACGGGACAGGTAGAGAGCGAATGGACACAGTCGGTAAGGTGAGAGGGAGGGATAGGGGTAAAGGTGGTTGTATGGAGGGGACGAATGGATAAGTCAATTAAGGACAGAGTTGCTATCGCATCCAAGTGATAAGGAGGGTCTACTTGATAGCGACAAAGGAAGAGAGAATGTTAGCGAGCTGTTCAAAGAACCCTGTGAACAGCGTGATCGCTTGACCGACGCTTGAAGTACAGGTCATCTCACGACACGAATGCATCGCCAGTTGCGCACCACCAATATCTGCAGTCATTACGCCTAGATGCGAGGCCATGATTGGACCGATAGTACGGCCGCCTGGCTGATCTTGACGTACCACGAATTCCTTCAACGAAAAAATATGGACTTCAAGAGACCCACACGCTTTGGGATAGCTTGAAAGCAAATAGTTCTAGAATGATTATGTTACATTATTTATTGGTAAAGTCGTCACCGAAGTCTCAGAGGAAAATCGACAAGCACAGCCCAGATGCTTTATTGTTAATAATATGACGCCAACAATTTCACAACCATTGAAAAACGACAAACTCAAATATTACCTAAACACAACCAATGCAATTATTCAAAATTCGATCAACATACTTATGAAGCGATTCGGTGCGCCGAGTTACCCATAAACTGGTAAAAACGGTCACATATGCACCACGTCAGGCTCAGACACAATTCAAGGCAATCGTTACATGCATATGACACCGTGAGAGAACTTGCTACGCATGAAGCATCAAGACTTAACACGATTCCTTGAAGCTCAAACGATCTGAAATAGTTCCATACGATAACTGCCATCTCCAGGGTAGGGGCTTAAAAATGACAAATTCGGAACGATTTGAGGGCATAGGATAACATGAATGTTCTCTTAGATTGTTATTTATGAAACTAGGGATGAAGCACCATTCGTGTTATTTTTGAACGTGAGTTTGATCCTAAAATCACTACACACAAACACGGACAACTCAATATATACCATACCGTTTGTTAATGAACACTGATAGCCCAATTTAGACGATTTCAACATTGAAAACGGACGGCAAGTACTACTGCCTATAATTAATTAAAACTAAAATGTTCATCGAGAAGCTGTAAGGATTATTAAATCTTTCACCCGACACGAAATTTCATGTTTATAAACACGAACTTATGACCTGCAAAAGTGCAATGTCCGGACCAAAAACGGACAAGTGGACACATGCTAGCACTCCTGTACTTATCTGACTGAAAAAAAAAACAAGATAGATGAGCATACCCAAGGTACTAATAACTGAGACAGGACAAAAACAAGAAAAGCAATTTTTATACACACCTGGAGTGGGACATTCGTTCGCCTAGCGACCTCTTTAACAATAGCCGAAGTTAACCCGTTAGTAGCATAGTTCTGTGAGCAGTGGTGCTTCAACACCAAGCCTTGGTGAAAGCCAGGTTTGTGTCCAGGTTCGTGTTTCTCAGGCCATGAGGGATGTACCGCGTGGGACTGGTCGGCCGAGAGGAGGAAGGAACGCGCCATTGTGCGTTCGAAGAGGCATCGCTCCGATCCCATTCCGCCGCCAGCGTAGTTTGCTGCGTCCGCCCCTCCGCCAACGTTACTTGCTGACTCTGTCGCTTCCATAGCACCCGCTGCCAACGCTTCCGTGACTCTTCGGAAAAGACATTCCGTGTAGATTGATTTGGCACCCTGGAGACTGCCCGAACCGATCTCTTCGTGATCGTAGAGACACACCACCCGTACGAAGGGTTCCTCCTTCAGGCTGGGTAGGGAGTTTACCAATGCACGAATTGACGCGTAGGCGTTGAATTGGTTGTCCAGTCGTGGTGCATGAATAAACTCTTCATGGAGGCCTCCTATTTTCGCTGGTTGAGTATCCGCTAAGTAGAGCTCCAGTTCAACTAAATCCGATGGTGTGCATTGAAACTCCGCAGCTAGAATACGCAGCAAACCTGCTGGGTGTCCTGAAGGCACTGTCGCATCCGTAGAAGCATTCAACTGGAACGACACGTAAAAATAGGACACCATCAATGACAAATTGAGCTGTCGAGTGTTGAAAGCAGAAAACGCACCTGTTCAGTAAGAGTGGTACACAGAATCGGAGCCAGATGGACCTCTGGATCAGGAGCGAAGTTCTTATTAACGTTGCGGTTCAAGTGGATGGCCAGCGAGGGCACACAAGCCAACGGGCGATCAATGTGGACAAGACGTTCTTCTAATGCACCAGTGGTGGGATTGCGGACGATGCAACGACCAGCAAGAGTGAGATCGCGATCAAACCAGGTGTACCACAGCCCACCACCGTAGGTCTGAACTGCGAGTTCGACGAAGCCTTCCTTTACGCGCTCTGACAGGGGTTTCAGTCGAAGGCAGGGGCTATCGGTGTGTGCGCCAATGATGCCGAAACCCTCACCGGGCTTATAGGCCCCACCCACAGCAATGGCGAACAAAGAAGTGCGGTTTTTGGTCACGAAGACACAGTCGTTCGGCGCCAACTTCCAGGGTTCGTTCTCGGACAATTCTCGAAAGCCATTGGAGGTTAGAATCTCGCTTGCGGATCGCACCACTACAAGAACACGTACAAAACACAACCCGAGATGCTTTTAAGCAATTGTGATTTAGTCAAAAAGACCAATGATAGATTTTAAGTAATGCACATTTCTTAGTTAAGAAGGTAGTTCTTTGAGTCATTTCTGGGGATCAACGTTTATGAATGCAAGCTAATGAAACCCTCACAGCCACATTGACATTCATTTGTAAGAAGCGCTGTCATTTAGATTTTTTCAAAGAATATTTGAATGTGCCCTATGAGATCAAGAAGCGTTATCGGGTTCATCTAAGAATGCCATTCAAGAGTAACATTTCACAAAATAATGTAATCTCGCGATCGAATCAGGGATTCAGCAGCATAGATCACTTCAAGACTTTTTCTGAGTGTGGAAAGATAAAGCATCTAAATAACTCTGGAACACACTTAGGCAGTGGGTTCGAATCTCGTATTCACGAATAGTTTGGGACAGATGAGAGTCACAGAGTAGAACGCCTGTCCGCTGGAACTTTGAATAACCAAAAAACACACACATAGTACCGGCTGAATTAGAATTACAAAGTCCGGAGGTGAGAAATGTCCGCCACCGCCACCACTACAACTGCAGTTGGAAGTAGGAAGAAGAGTCAGGAAGTTAAAATTTATGTGCAAGCGTTCGCATAAAAGGACGCTTCATTAACATGTCAACAACTTGTCACAGTGGTACAGCGCAGCCAATTTCACATGCGCACAAAAAAAGGTTGCGATGAATGGACGGTAATGCAGTAGCGCTAGAAACTTCTGGTTCATTTTAAGCAATAAAATCTATCCGACACTCAAAATTTACCACCAGGCAGTTTAAGGGGATTATAAAAATTCAACAGAAATCCCATCATCACAGACAATGAATCAGAAAATGGTGAAATGTGACAAATAATGCCATATAAACTAATTTGAAAGGCTTGTCGCTAACGCACCGATTAAAATGTTAAAACGAAGGGCAGACTTATGCTATCACAGGAACATGATAATAGCTTGATGCATCAGAATGTTGCCTGATTGGTTACGCAAACTTTCCCAAACTCCTACGATTTGGCCTCAACGCTTGCTGTTTTCACTAGTCTCCAAACCCTCCTATATGCCTACAACAAGGATTTTTCAGATTTACGTGCCTCACAACATCTGCATGAATAATTTTGATACTCCAATTGTCAATTTTTCGGATTTGGACAACTGATAACCACTGCCCCATTAGAATTTTAGCTGTGCTTGGCAGAAAGGTTAGATTAAAATGCTCAGCATCAGGATCTTCAGGAAAAGATTGATCATCACACCCCAAAAGCTGCTAAGAAAAAATAAAAATGCGATTGTCTTCCGAACAAGAACATCTCATATCTGTTTTATTGTTTTAAACCCAATCAAATCCGTTTACGACACGAGATTCATTGCATCCAGTTGCTGTAAACAAAGAACGCATGACACACATTTGTGACACCAAGTTCAGGTAAGAGGATCAAAGCGTCGCTTATCTACGACGCTGATAGCAAACGTACTAAAAATGCAAAGCTCTGGCCACAGTGACATGACCCGGTGGTCCATGCCTAAAACAACTTTTTCTCCAAGCCCAAACAAGCGACAGATACATAGGGAGATAGGTAGATGGACGAGTAAAAAAAATATTCAAGTAGGGAGATAGGGACGCATCAATAGGTAGAGAACCGAATAGGCAGACAGGCAAGAAAGTCGATTCTCAAGCGGAAGGGTAGATGGATGGATAGATACGAGGTCATTGGAGCGAGAGGACAAGTGGACTAGAAAAGCGTAAAAAGTACACACGAACTAGGGCGGTACGGCCGAGTGAGCACGCATTGATGGTGGTAGTGGTAGCAGCAATATAAAACCAGGTCATTCCATGACCTCAGATACCAGCCACCCGCAGGTGCAAATGTGTGCATTCTCTGTGCTCGTATGCGAGCGCGTACAAAGGCAGACCTAAGGCACGGACAACCCAACCTCAATTCTCCATACCCATCTATAACCCAAAATCGACGTCTCCTTGCATTCCTGTCCCCACATTCACAAGCATCCTATCCTAAAGACAAGCCCCATGGGAGTAGCGGACGGTTGAGCAAGTCCAAGTCGTAGCAAATTAACAGCAGTGATATTTAGATTTTGTAATGTATTGAAGCGCAGGTGTTTTCAGTCACCTGTGATTCAACCCGCATGCCTTGTATAACCTATTCAGGAAAATTTCGGGCGCCACAAATTCCACCTATGAGGCTTTTTTTAATCGTCTGCGGTTCGGCCTACTATGCCACCAGTCCCCAGTTCTTCTGTACGCGTATAATAAAGCCATTCACATACTCGAATACCTTGTAACGCTTTCAGAGATAACTTGTGCGCCTCAAAAAACCAGTCATAATGCCACCCACTAGAGTCAACGAATATACTACCAAACATAATGGCAGAAACTTGCTCGGGAAATTGCACGTCCCTCTTCTACAAAGAAAAATACCAAGGGACGCTAACTCGAAATCGTACTTCTGAGCGTAAATGAAGATTGAGGGAGCGGAGGTGTGAGCACAATTACTCAACAGAAAACCTAAGTTGGCTTGCCGGCTAATTGAATTAGCCGAGTGAAGGAATAAAACTAAAAGACGATAAAAAGGTACAAAAGCGGAGAAACCAAGTGTGCCGAAATTGATTCAGCATACAGGCGTGTCCCAGTACTAACACATCATGCATCATATGATTGACCCACTGGAGTAACTACCACTAAATTTCAAGCAGAAGTGTTAAACGGCTCAAATGGCCAGCTAAGAGGGCTTTAGTCCTTTGGCAAAAAAGCAGTGGGAATGATGCAACAAGTAATGTCACATAACCACATAGAGGATGGGTTGTATAGACAAAACCCCAGCCCTTTTGGTAGTACAACAGTATGACTGCTGAATGACCCAGAGAGAGCATAGGCGCACATAGGCCAGGCTGCTTAAACAGGTCTATACCCACGTGCACCTTGAGAGGTCAATCAACAGTGGGTGTCAACCTCTGAGAAGGCTCGAGCTTCACTTTCGCATCGTACATCGCGTGCGTATACGTGAGTGTAGTGAGCTGTCTTTCATTGGCTCAAATACATCAGCACAGAGATGAGGCTAGATTGAGACGGCAAAGCTCAACGCACATATTAGTTCAGTTCAATTTGACCGACCGGCAAGAGGCAAATCGCATAATTTATTCTAATGGGATGCACATAGGCATGCACGCACGCACGCATAGTGTGGAATAAAGCGGACAGCGTCCGTGCACACTTTTAATTTTGTTAATTAACAGTCAAAAAAACAAAACTAGAACCTTAGACTATGCCTTGCACCTAACCCCACATAAAGGGCCCAAGCAGCTAAGAGCACACGAAAGGGCCATTACTAAGAGGGGATTACCCACTACTTTGGCGTTCTCTCAGTCGCTCAGCAAGAGATCAAATGCAGCCATGAAAAGCGCACGTGTGCACATACACACAGCACACACGGCCAAGTAAATGTGCAATCAAGTGTGGAGATGGATCACACTTGAAGGGCACTGAATGAGTGCGAGAGAAATAGAGATTAACAGCCTACAAGAGCGCACGTAAGCACGCACACACGCACGCACGGTTTTGTGGCTGTGAGCAGGCGCACCTACATACACACACACTGCCCACACTGATCAATAATACGAGATCTGCTGCTGCCACTGCTGCTTCTGCAGCTACATCTGATGCTACCACTACTACCGCGGTTCTTGACAATGGAAATTGAAATACTTGGTCCATGCACACGAAGCTCACTTATGGCATCAATCAATGCCACCTGGAGCCCCATACACGCACAAGTGCGCGAGCGCTCGGGTTTACAAAAAAGGGAATATGTCAAGAATACTCACATCTCGCCCTTTATGGAAGGAAAATTCATCATCTAACCTGTCAAAACCAACATTGTTTCGACTTGGAAGATAAATGGCGAATAGTAGTCTACGGACACTTCGGGGCTGTCGGACCAATGAGAACTGCCCTTGAGTGAATGATGGTCCGGAATGCAAATTGACTTTCCACAGAAACAGAACATAATTTTTGACAACTCGACGCTAGACGTGAATAAGGAGGAATAAAAGGTGACTAAATTTCGTTCTTGCTCAATAAGAACCAAAAAGTAAAGAAAGTAGGCCACATTTCCTCGAATTTCTTCTTCAATTAAACAGACAGGAATTTCGGAATTCACTAAAGTTTAAATCATGAGGTGATCTTGACGAAACAAAAACTTATAAATCCGTATTACTAGTAGAATTCGTAGCCGGTTGAATCAGTCAAATTCGTTTTCGAGTAAAAAACCGATATATGAAGTCGGAGGTTTTATGTGAGAAATATAAGGCAAATCCCGAAAATCCAATTATGTATGTGAACTGCTGTAAGAAAACAAAATAAAAAACAAACCTAACATTTTCAGCAAAAATAGAATTGCAAATTTAAATAAATTAAAAAATGCGTAAACGAGAAGAAATTCAAATCGCAGATTGGACGTACGCAATTTGACGCTTCTTCAAAGGAAGACAAAAACATCGACCCAGAAAAGAACAGGAGATATAAAAGAAAACATCGGAGCGTGATTCACTAAGAAACCCACTTACCATGGAAAGGCGAAGGTGATTTGTTGATAAAGTTGATGAGTTCCTTAGCGAAGACCATTTGTGCTTGGGGTAACCGCTACAAAACAATCACAACAGGGGAGGCAACATTAAATTCCATACTTCCATCACGGACAAAATAAGGAGTTAGGACCCATGCTCAATCGATTATCGACTCGGACACGAACCACGACTCGAAAAAACCATTCCCAAAAAAGACTAAAACTCAGGCGGGTGGAGGGAAAAATAGAGCAGATTCGCTTGGAGGCAGTGGAAGGATCGGTATTTTCTCAAAAGCGACCGTAGCACGAGGTGAAAGCAATGTTAGCTGAGAGGGACAGTAATGGTAATGGTGGTGAGTAGTTAAAGTGGTCTGCGCGGCTTACTGCAATAACAGCAACAGCTGCTGCCGCTGCGGCCGCAGTGCTGCCACCACTACTATTGGCGACAGTGGCGGCGAGAGCATTCGGTGCTGCAGCAGTGCTGCCAATGAGAGAATTGAGGCAATTAGGCAACTGTAGTTTACGAAAGAGGGCACCGGCTGCGGTGGCGTTGGTGACAGCGGCGGGTGGTGGGGGTACAGGGAAGCCCATTGGTGAAGGGAGGTCGAGGAGGAGGTCTCCAAGGTTTGATGGCAGTAACTGTTTTCCGTCAGTACGTGTCGCTGTTGCTGCTGCGGCGGCCAGCAGTAGCCTCTGTAGCGAGTCTACTACCACGCTTGCTTCGGCTGAGTTAGATACACCACTGGGGCCAGAAGAGGGAAAGACAAGAGGGAGTTGTGACGCGGTAGCGGCGGAAGGGAGTGGAGGCACCTGTTGTGTTGGAGGGAGCGACGACGACTGCAGCGGCGGTGCTTGCGGTGGTGCCGGTGAGTAAATAGAGGCGAGGGAACGCGAGAGTGGAGTGGGAATCAGCGCCTCCGGAGCGATGCTTGTTGGTGTTTGCAGCGGTGGTGGTGGTGGTGGTGGAGGGAGAAGGAGGTGAGGTGTGGCGGAGGCAAAGTTGGTGGTCACAGCAAGGGTAGGCGGAGGAGCGGCGACAGTGGGGGAGGCAAAGAAAGATGTCGTGGAGGTCATGCTATCTAGAACATCACTTGAAAGCGGCGCACAAATAAAGGATGATGTAGAGGAGGGGGTAGTTGTGAAGATGCTTGTTGAAGGCAACTGATGCTGCTGTAGTTGTAGTGGTGTGCTGGTGTTGCTATTGTTGCTACCACAATCACCACCACCACCCGGTGAATTCGACTCAGTGCTGATGCCCAGCAGGGACTGTAAGTGAACAAGGCAAAGCAACATCCAATCAACCTTCAACTTCTGTGATATATATGATCTGGTTAGTTAGGACAGCGCCTCAGTGGCTCACAGCCAAACACTACGGCGTCATCTACCTACCCTCTGAAAATATGCCATTCATAGCATCGATGGTCTACAAATGATACAAAACTACAAACCAACGTTCTATTTTGCATAACTATTGATATGCACTTGAACTATGAGTGATTCCAGTCTGGAGGTTCAAAAAATAAATCCCATTTCATATTCTCTTGAAAAAATTAGATTGAATATTAAAATGGATGTTTAACAGTTTACCAACCAAAGCTTCGATGAATTGTTTGAATGAAACACCGATTCAGCTTCTAAAAAACGCTGTAAGCGAACAGTCTAACAGACATAAAACGAAACTAGTAATTCCTTAAACTCGATGTAGAACAGCTGAGGACGAAAATAAGATGATATCCTTAATAAAGCAGACCATAAATTTCAGTGGTAAAAACGTACTGAAAATTAGTGTATATTATTGGGCTGGAGCATACAACACCTCAAAAAACACTTAAACAAAAGCTAGTTTCAGGTCGTCATAAAATTTAGGTTGATAGTATGTCGAAATGACGCTTAATGGTTTACGAAACACCATCCCAAAGACCGGACATTGTGACTGTGGCACAAATTACAATGCATAAAATCGTAATTGAGAAAAATTTACAGCAATTTGCAAGATGTGAATGTCAAATGTCTTGCCTTGATAACAAACTTCAGTAATATTTACTCGAATGGACGACACGGCAATTTTACATCAAATCCAGAGGGTACGAAAATCACGAACATGAGCAACTCACCTCCGTCTGTTTTGGGGAAGACGCAGCCGAGGCCTGGGACAACGAACTCATCGATTTTCCCTGGGCCGCCAAGGAACTCCAATTCTGCATTCGCACTTGGGTCGGTAGCCCTGAAACGTTGTTCCAAGGGCTCTCTAGACGAGACAAAACACTACCACTACCGCCACCCCCTCCTCCTGGAGGGGTAGCCGTGTGCGTCGCCCTCAACAAACTTGCCGTCTCAAGGGGAAAACTGAAGGATCCGGTTTGTGTCGACGGTAGGGGTGGTTGCAATGCCACTGAGGTTTGGGGCGCCCCGGTCACCGGTCCCGATGCAGCATCCAAACGAACATGATGATGCTGATGGTGGCAATCCCCTCCGCTGGAGTTATTGGCCGCGGTGGCGGCAGCGGCAGCTACAGTGACCGAAGGCTTACACCGATTGTTGGGCAGAATAATGTGGTTTTTGCGCACATAGTCACATAGTGAGGACTTGGCAATATTGTACCGGGAGGCAGCTTTGCGCATCGAAATCTTCTGCTCCTTTACATCCCTAACAGCCTTCTCTAGGAGCTCCTTGCGTTCCTCGGGTTTGTGTCGTGGCCGTTTTAGTGGGGTGGTAGAGGGCGGAGTCGTAGGTGCAGGCGCCTCAGGTTTGATGATCACTTTATTTGGTGCTGTTTGTACAGGTGGTAGTGGTGGCAGTTGCTGTTGGGATAGGTTAAAGGACACTTCTGCGGGGATTGTGGAAGTATCCATGAGGGTGGACTGACTCGAAGGGGAGAGGGGGGAAGGGTCTGGTTGTGGGGCGGCCATGTTGGACTCAGTAGGAGACAGAGATGCGGTGGCGGTGGTAGTAGCAGCAACAGCAGAGACAGTAGAGGGAGTAATGGGGTCGACACTAGCCATGTTCTCTGGGTGTGAGTGCGCCGAACGTGCGATCGCATGTGTGCTCAGGGCGTCTGCAACCGACTGATATGGCGCACGCTCTGTGCGTGCGTGTACGCCAGCACGTTGAGTTGAGAGCTTCAGAGTATCGTGCATACGTGGGTGCGTGCAAATAGACACACACGCATGCACAATGAGTGCTCTTCATACCAATGGGTGTGCGTATGTGTGCTCGTACACGCATTGGAGCGATTGGCTAGAGGCCTCTTGAGCGATGGACGCTGGTGCCTATATGCGAGCACCCCCATGGTGCCAAGCCTTTGGAGCTACCGCCTTAATGTAATCGCCATCGGACATCGGCCATTCGATCAACTCAACCTCACTCTCTCACGCAGACAACAAAAAGTAGTACTTTAGCACGTCCGCCATTATCGACTCTTATATGACGTGTTCTTTATCCATTAAAGGTAAATAGTTGAATTTACAGCTATAAACGCAGCACGTTATTTGTCTGAGGATAATTTCATATTCTAGTTTATGAGCAGCATAGAATGTATCTTTTGCGGATTGAGGTGGTCAATTTTATCTAAGACCTAAGAGCGACAGCGTACTTTGCCCTAAGTGGAGGTCAATTCAGTTCAGTGTCAGAAAAATGCACAAGAACTTCGAAGAAAAATCGAAAAAGTAACCAGACACCAGAGGGTGACCTTCGGAGTGGATAAGGGTTGATTTAGTAGAATAGTTCAAGAATGACCCTTGAGTGGTATCATCTTCTATGACGAAACGAAAAAATAAGAAAATTCAATGCACTCTCAAAGGGATGGGAAAGCGGTATACAGCCTTGCCAACGCAGATTTTGAATTGATCTTCTAGAAATAAATACAAGGTTCAAGTTTTCCACACTCCTTTAATGAAGTGCGGCAATTTAAGCGGTAAAGTCGAAACGATGATTCAAGATAAAGGACACGTAAGGGTGATGATGGCGATAAAGTCTTTGTTGAAATTACGAAGCATCGAAAATGAGGATTATTTAGTCGAAAAGTTTGCAAAGTAATGCCACGGAATCACGCATTTTAGACAACATCAACAATGAAGTCAAGTTTCCAGTGATACTTCTTGAGTAGGGCAAAATCTTTTGATATTCGGAGACCAATAGCACATTCTTTAGATGCATGAATGCTCAGAACGTTGTTATAAGGGATTAGATTCCATTCATTGCAGTGGTCGAGAACAAGCATTTTCACAATTGCTTTCTTCGTCTGTGCACTGCTTTTGGAGAAAGCTCTATAGACTGATCTTCACGATACAGCTTGCTCATCCACCACACCCTATCCTCCCGCCACAGTTGCCGACAACAACGAGCAATGATGTAGAGACACTGATCCCCACTTCTTCTAGTGGCTCCCTGCTGCAGCAAAAAGTGCCGATAGCAAGCAACTGCCGTTCATGAATCGCAAAACCCTCTCCCAGATCCCTCTTCACCGACTGGAGACCTACACTTCCACTCATCACAACCATTACCAGTGGTATTGCTTTCAGCTAACACTTCCCGATTCGCGCTACGTCCGCACTTAAAGCTATTGATTTTCCCACGACCTACGGGCAAACCGAGCGCCATCCCGCCGTCTATGTACCTATCCCCTGTCCGGGTTTTGGTTGTGGGAATGGCTTTCGTTTTGCGATTTGTGTCCAAATCGATAATCGATCAAGCCTAAGGCGCAAAGGCCAAGGGGTGGAGTGGAGCACTAAACCCCGGCATTACTTACCTCAGCCTCTCCGTTGAGAACGATACACCTAGGTAAGGGAAAAAAAACAGCACATAAAAATGAGGATAAAACGTCCATCCATGATAATCAAACCAATCGAAAAGGAGAATGCAAACTTTTGCCTTGGTCAGCAGTCATAGATAATCGGAGTTTACAAATGAAGGGCGGATTTTGCCGGTGTAAAAGCCACCGAAAAAAAAAACTATGTATAATATCTAAGCCTTCAGATTTAGCTACACTAGTACAACTGTCTGTCTTGCTTTAACTCACAGACATATGCATTTACCTCGTTAGTTAAGTGACGGTTCTTCCCAAAATTCTTGAAGCACTTAGGGATTAGATTAGCTATGGAAACTTGCGGAAGTAATATAGAAAAGAGGCATAATTTGCAATTCTTTACAGTATAGGGGGAAGGCGACAAGTCCCAGATATATGTCTGCTACCCGTACTTTAAACATGGTCACAATTCATGTAGAATAAGAGTTGGACCAGATCAAAATGGTCAAGTTAGTATAACAACTTTGCTAGAATTGGACAAGCAATATAATACAGAAACAAACATTAAGAGCTGCACACAATTCCAGGAGGATCGAAATTTCTTCCGATGAATTAGTTACTATGGCTCAAACAGTTGGCTGTCTTACCAAAATGAATTACTAGTTCTAGGGTATGTTTGTTTGCATAATTTTTTTTGAATAGTCAAGGAGATGTCGAAAGTACACCAGTGATTCGAGATCTTAAAATGGCCCGAAAAGAGACGTCCAGCTTGGATTTCGATAGCGGAAGAAAGTGGCGACTTTCGAAAAACTTTCATAACGATGTCTTGTTTTGAATACAACAGCAGAAGAATACGACAGCGAGACACGAAGATATTTGGCTTCGAAGACGACACTGAAGAATAAAGAGGCTTTTATAGTACCTCTAGAACCATTACATACCATAAAAATAAAGAACTCAACTTTGATTACAATGACAGAAGAGTACATCGGTCCCTTAACAACACCAACAGGGAAGCACCAAATCTTTTAGCCACGAATACGGCCAAACCCACAGCAATTTTGGGATTTGAAATGGAGCCGCAAATAACAAGAAAAAGTGAATTTACGTCCAGCATGAACATGCATCAACCTATCAAAACCTGAACATACACAGAGGCAACCGCTTTTGTCATAGCGTCTTCTGGAAAATATCACCGCATCAGCCGGTGTGACCGCCACCGCCTTAGTCACAGCAATAGCTACAGAAGCAGTGGCAGCTGCCAAACGCAATTAAAGACGATCCTATGTACACGCGTGCCTGCGTGAGCGCGAAAAGCACACACAGACAGGCGGATAGTAGACATGCTCAAACAGGATCAAAGAACTGCTGAGCCTACTATTCAAGGCGCGTGGATGTACGTGGCTTGCTCGCTCGCGCTTTCTACCGCGTCTACGTCCTTTCTCGCTGTGCACACACGAACGAACGTCTACTTGAAATGGGTGGGACTGATTTCAAAACACCCGGTGACTAATTGCATGTGTTACGTGTGTGTTTGTACGTATGCATGTGTATGTGCATCTGAAAAGACTGGCGGAGAGGGGGGGGGGAGGGAAAGAGGACCCGCTAACAGCAATATACTTAAATCTACAAGAAGCTGCTGTAGTTGAGAAACTAACAGCCATGTCTATTTATTAACTAATTTGCAGAATAAGATCTCACTATAAGTAGTCGGACAGTTCAGGTGAGCACGTTGTGAGATGGCACCACGAAAATGACCGGACAACCAAGAGGTGGAAGAGCAATTTCATTCAAAAAAAGGATTTGTACTTCTGCTTTGAACAGTGACCTGTTTGCAAAGTAGCCCTTCTATAGGAGATAGGACAGACTGGACGCCTAAGAATAGAGGCATTACTTACTACCTTCGCTACCAGTGTCAAACATAACGAAAGCATTGTTTTCGTACTCAAGTACGGCGTTGAAAGCAGGCGATAACCGATTGCAGAAGAAGAGTAGCGCGAGCAGATTTGCCAAATTTTAAACAAAAAGACATGAGCCAACTTTTATCTTTGAGGAGCAATTGAATTGGCCAGAAAATTAATGACGATTGATGCATTCAAAGAATAAAAAATCCAGGAGGCGGTGAAGACTTCCACTTGAGACCTCAGTAGAGAACTTATTAAAAATAGAAAGGATTTGGGCAGATAAGGTTGGTAATTTGAAAGTGGGTAAGAAAGGTGAGTAGATAAAGAATTTCTTATGGGATAAAAGATGGAGGATTAAAAGAGGCCAAATAAGCCTTTAAGAACCCTGGAAACATCTCAGATGCTGCAAATTCTGCAATACTGTTAACAAATTCCCAGTTAACTTAATTTCTGATAAAGATAATTTATAAGAATTCTTAATGGGTGGGCCACAAACCTCACAGATTGGTGTCATAACTGCGACGCTAGAATATACATTACCACTAAATACTATACATTAAGGGATTTTGAAAGGAAGATTGGCATTCCCTGTGTCTCGATGCTCAATTTTCAGAGTAGAAATACAATTTCCTGAAGGGCAACTGTTTGCGTGGGTTGCTGAGACCAATCAAATATTTTCTAAAGTTGCACATATGGAAGTCAACGGCCGACGTATTCTGGACAATCGGTTCAAATTTACCGATTGATCGAGCCTTTAACCTCCATGAGTATTGGTAGGAACCACAAAAGTCGCAATTAATACAGCATCCTGTTAAGGATTATCGCTTTTCCGCTGATGTCTGTGGAGAATTTACCAGAAGAAAGCATTAATTGCTGAGAGTGAAGAACATTTCCAGTCAAATGAAGAATAATGAACCAATTCTTGACAACTTTGGGCGAAAAAAAAGGCACATTCGTGCGACAGAACTACAAAACCTTTAACATCTTGAAAAAATAGAAGAGAAAACCAGGAAGATTTCGATTTGCTCTTCAGTAATGAAAAATCAAATCCGACCAAACTGCCTAAGGTTGACCTGCTCTGTTCACTAGCCATGAGGATATCTATGAGTGAAATCACCCAAAAAATTGACATCAAAACATGAAACCAATGGCCAAGAGCAACGCAGCACAACACAACATCATGACCTTTGAGCGCGTTAGAGCGTAAGCATCGATTTGCCATAGCTTTGGGTACAGCCAACATAATGGAAATGGCCAAGACTTTGGAGGTCGATCCTAAGCTTTATTTACAAGACCTGAAATTTTATGGTGGGATCGTGGTCACAGAGCATCAACAAGTTCTTTTATGCCAACGGGTTAGAATAACCGCTTTTCTTATGTCCAAATGTATCCTCAGAGAACAGAAAATCTCCCCTATTTAAGAAAAATAGCAGCCACAAAGCCAAGAGCGGGCGTGTACATCTTGCACTGACTAATAGCGATGGGTGGAGGCAGCGGCCGAACATTATGCTTGTGCGGGTGCGAACACTCACTTTAATGTCAAGCCACGGAATTCCATAAAAATTATGAATTTAGTTCCGTTTAGAATTATTGAGACCAAAAGATCCCAGCTAGAGGCATTTCTGCCGCACTTCTCTATCTTATCTGACCACAGTAATGATAATGGGGAAAAATGCCCCAACCATGCCAAAGTTAAATATATTGGGCTTATATACTTTGATTCATTTCAGAAAGCAAAAATATACGTCAAGTTGATGTTGAGCTAATCGAAGAAACCTTTCGGCAGGTAGGGCCAAGTATTTATGAATCCTTCAAACATATCTTTTCGTCAAGTTGTCTTTGGGGGGACACTAACGGAAGCAAAGAGTAATCTGCCAGCCCAGAATGAAGACACCATTTAATAACGTTAAGGTTATTGTTTAAATCACAAATACGGCCTAAGCGTAGTCAACCTGTGCCAATGCATTATGCAATAGGGTGTGAAATTGTGGATTACTATCGAGCACTAGACATACTTGGGCAAATCTACGGGGAGACACACTACCGAGCAGAAGAGGGCAACTATGACTGCCACACAAGCACCGTCGCTCATAATGTGGCCGAAAGCCTGCCTTGACTCTCTATTATTAGTTCTATCATGTCCATCGGACCTTGTAACAATCAACTGCCACGCCTTCTAGACCTAAGCACTAAACTACCTCTTGTCAACAGCGAAAAAAAACCCTCATAAAAGATAGGAAAAATACGATATTGACCAATCACCATGCTCCTTGTTGACTTGAAAACCAGACATTAGACCTAATGAAGAGATTCATTCGTATGTATTTGTGCCCCGTGGGTGAGGAATATCACGTAAGGACGACGTCCACGTCTACGGAAGGCGACTACAAATCAAATCACTAGAGTTGACACAAAATGTGGTGTGTTGGGCTCTGTAGCAACCCTTGACCGAAAAGGTGAGTCAGAAGTACGCGATCACTTCCAGTTCCCTTAAATTGAATAGTTCACATCCGATGACCGAAAAATAGAGTTCGATTTGAGACACCCTAATATGTTTCAGGGTGGACTCAGGTACAGCAGTTTCGATAGGAAAAGTTCGACGCGTAAGAGAAGGAATGCGACATATTTTAGAGAATAGACAGCGAACAAATTGAAAGCTTACGGATACCTAAATCAGTCAAGAATAAAATCAAAAAAAAAACAAAATATACCAACAAGTAACAGATTTAAAGCATGGCATGAGGGATGAGTGTTAGGCGCGGTGAAAACCATCGGCTAAGGGGAGACGAATTTGAGGCACCCAATATTCCCACTTCCAAAATAATTTTCAGGTAAGAAAATGAAAAGTGGACCAAAGCAAACCGACTGAAAACATCCAAATGCCCACCTGTACTAAAAATGACCTAAAAAATGAATTGGAAGTAATGGTGCCACTAGATTTGAAGCCCGACCAAAGGGATGGATCGTTTTAGGTTCTATAAATTAGGCATCTCATATACAACCTAATAGGTGTTTACGCATTACTTCAGTAACAGCGATCTAGACAGGAAAAAGAAATGTCAAAGAGAAAGCACAATACAGTTGGAAGAAACCACAATGAATCAATTGAGTGCTTCTAAAAGGTCGTATCTACTAAAGATGACCGAAAAATGAAATACAGGCAATAATATCACGAGATTCAAATCATAAAATAAGGGGTAAATACTACCTTTCATGACAAGACAAATCAGACAGTTTGGTTTATAAGTAAGTACAGACGAGCGATTAGTAGCTTCGAAGGAAAAGGCCGGGGAGATCAGGAACAAACATGCTACACTTCGCACAGTACCCAAACGATCGCGTTTACTTGACGAACAATTGGAATACTACAAGTGGCACTCCTAAGGCACAAAAAGTGGGGTAAATTCAAGGCCCAACAAAATGACTTGTTCGCAAATTTTGGCCAATACACCGCCCTCACAAGTGATTGAATGTGTGCCTGTACGTGTATTTGTATGCATTCACATGTACGTACGCATGCACGTGCGTACACATAGAGGTGAAGTGTTTTCTTTGCGATTGTGCTCATCAACACGAAATCGACCGAATTTGATACACACACGGGCGTATGGAGAGCATGAGAGGCCAGTGCACGCGAGTTTACATGGGTGAGCGAGTGAGCATACACACAAAGACGCGATGTACACGCGTACAAACAATCGTGATGATGGTGATGGTAAACAGGAGTTAGCCTGTTCTGGCCAAACTACTTGTTTTCGAACCCGCATACTGTCTCCGCAATCACTACTACTGGTGCGAACGACTAAGTACTCGGGTAGGGTGTACCGCGTTGTCTGGCATCTAGAGAATCGGACAAGAGTATTTCAACTGTAGAAAGACAGCTATCTCGCAGTTAAGATAATGTCTCAGTGTGGATAATGCCAAATCTATGTGAACACGCCTTCGACTGCTCTTCATACAATATCCATTCAGCTATCCGGTCTCCTCATGTGACAGACTTGTTTAAGTGGCTCAGAATCGCTCAGGTCAAGTCAGGACTTTGTGACGGTACTGCACACGGTAGCAAATGCCAAGTGAGTCCTACTACTAATGACCAGAAATAGCTAATTAAGATGGCGGGTGGGAGTGGTAGTGTATGCAACAGAATCTGCTGGTAAACTGTTCTGTAAACTAAGGTGTGAAACCCGTGGACACCCACTTGTGCGGAAGACTTCAGAAACGGTACGGTCAGTTATAACGTTTGAAGTGTAAATGTTACGCAGGCAAATGTTCTTCAGAAACGGTTCATACCGTCATAGTTTCGTCCTCAACACAAGGGACCCATGGATAGACGATAGTGAAATTATACAAATGACGAATTATTCTGGTGAAAACGGTGAACACAACCGTTAACGAATACGTGATTCCAAAAAGTTAGCGCAAGATGGGTATCAAGACAACATTACGTTTTTAGCTAGCGCAGTAGGCTGTTCAAAGGTGATTCAGCCAAATTGACAAATTTCCTATCCCGAGACCTTTCAGGTACCAGCTAGACATCAGAATAAGCGTGCAAAAGTAGGAGAGGACTACGTGGTTGTTGGCATTTCGAACTAACTGTTGCGCAGTTAAATTTAAGGTGAAACAGGCATTCTAAAATAGCATATTGTGGTGACCCATAATGATGGACAAGCAATACGGGAGCGGTTCCGGTAATTAAACTTTGCGGGAGTCCAACATTTCATAACATGATAATCGGAAACAAACCTATGCTCGCGGAGTTAGTTTGTGAATCTATAACCTAGAATACAAATACCACAGTAAAGAAATAAAACTACCCAAATTTACCCAATACCAAATGGCCAGAAATAACAGCGCCCTAAGAGTGATAATTTTAGTTAAAGGAGGCTCTCCAGTAACGACGCATAAAAAATAAGGGTATCAACCTCCTTGAGGCAACTTGATTTCCCAAAACGAGTCCGAGCATCTCCATTGCGAAAAAAGCTTTGAGGTGGACAAGTTTTGAAGCAACTTTGTCGTTTTAAAAACCTACTTGCAAAACCATTCGCTAGAAACCCAATGCCTAGATTAACTATACAGGCCAAACCTGTACAAATAATAGCAGTTTCGATGATGTGGACTCAGGAGCTAACAAGCATTATACGTTCAAACGTGTTCAGACGCCTCACGATTTGCTATTATGCTCAGCTTGAACTTTGGATCCCTCGTTTGAATAAAAAGTCATCATTGGCGGACATTCGTTATCAGTAACAGCCAGAGTGCAGACAATGAGATGACCTATATGGATACCATCCCAAATTAGCAGATTTTATCTAAATTAACATATCGAACCAACCGAACAATGCCTGAAAAAGAAATTCCGCGAGACTCAAAGTCTATCGGCTGCAAGTTTTCATTTACTGTACCATCATCCATCCCATCTTTATGGTGTGATTAAGCCAAGACCACATTTTTTCCACTAGCAGAAGGCTTTTAATGGGAAGTACAACACAAAAAGCAAGTTTGCGCTAAAACTCCTATTTACCAAATGGCCGAAACCACAGAATCACTGCGCAAATAATATCTACTAATTCCCTTCAGTAACAGCATTACTTAACCAAATTTGTCGGTGCAAAAATCGAGTTGTCTATTGAGAAAAGGTCCCTAACCTTGAACATTTAATGCAAAAACAATTTGGTAAGAATTTCCAAAATAGAAGCAAAATTTGTCATTTACTGTGCTATGGGAATGGAATTTCTGAGAAAATGTGAATTTCCGATGTTAAGCATAAGCATGTTACGTATTTTCAAAAAACAACCATAGCCAATTAGAGCCTATGAATGAAGGAATAATAAAGCTGCCGGCTATCTCAGGCAGAAAATGTCTTTGCTTGGGAGGAAAAACAACATTAGCAACGGTAATAGCCATGATACTAAGCAGCTGCACGCTACAGAATGAGCACTTTTTGTGGAAAAATTTCACAACAATTACGCACCAGGACAGTCTACAACATAGTGATTGCGAAGATTTTTTTTGAAAACAATGAAAAGCAAGACAGAGTCATGACAAAATACTGAAAAGCCACAGCTAGATAAGTCGCGATTACTATTAGCAATAACAAACATTTAACGACGAGGACACCACCTCCATTACTTCCTAATGGTCAATTTTCAGTACCTTTGCATGACCATGCTAAAGTATACAGAAGAGTCAAATTTTGCTATACGTTCAAAATACAAGGTGTATGTATGTAAGACAACCCGCTTACAATGCTAAGTTTAGTGGTATCTCAGGGAAAGGTTAAAAAGCAAATCGAACGGAAAGTAGAGGTTATAAGCGCGCCCCGATCCCACAGACCTATACACTGCTATCAGGAGTCCAGAAATTCAAGTCCGAACGGCGGCAAAAAATAGATTCGAAACCGAAGAGATCTGCTTAGCAGGTACCTGTAGGCTAATGCCTTCTAAGCCCAAAACAGCCACTATAACACAAGGTAAGCATAGAAGCAATGACAAATTTAGTGAATACGACAAACGCAACACTTTTTGAACAACCAAACAAATCAGAAGCAATCCTTATGTGCGCGACGCTCACATGCACGTATTTATAAGGAAACAAAGAAGCGCCATTACTAGTGCACGTCTTGTCATATGTGTCGAATTTCCAAAACCTCAAGGAGTAAAGGAAATTGCAAGGTTAAAACACACCTTAACACAGAAATCATACAGTTTCGAAGAAGTAGCACAATAATTAAGGCAAAATTTTGACATATTATGGCCCAGTAGGTCAATCAGTGTTAATAAAATGAGTAAAATCGGTCCAAAAAAAGGAACAGTTTTTACAATTTACGAAGGCTTATTGTTAGCACAAAGGGGTGAATACACGCAAATATCACTAGGTATAGTAAGAGTAAGAAAGACTAATCCTAAAGAGAAGAACGAACATAACAAGAGCAGACATTATTAATGGATCATAATGACGGAAGAAAGACACAGACAACTCAGCAAAAAAGTAAGAGATGCAAAACAAAAACAGGTTTATGCTTTATTTGTTAATTCGCAAGCAAGGGTAGTCGAAAAAGTTTACTTGCTCATCTCCCGAAGTTGGCGCCCATCAAGCACAGAGCAATAAAAACTTAAAAATTGCTTTGGATAGTAGACAAAAATAAAATTTGTGTTATATAACAAATTCAGCGCAAGGATATTTAATTTGAATGTAGTTCGATATCTATGTAATAGTTTGGTCCTTCTTTCTAGCAATAAGTGTACAAATAGACTAGCCATTTCTGTAAATGTATATGAGAGCCTTCGTATTGAACAACTAAAAAATTAGACCACCTCGTGTTTTTTTGAAGTCTTGCGAATTAACACGCAGACCCTTATGTAATTTTCTACATTGCAAAACTGCATAAACTTTATTACTAATATATGCGCAAATTTGCGCAGAGACGTTTTTTTCTGACATTACAGGAAAGTAGCAGTGTTGTTTATGCTTTGCATTTAATTTCATTTTTATTATGAAAGGATCTACTGCGACACTTTAAACTACCCACTGTCAGAAAGTCTTGTGCAGGCACTGCTTATAAAGCTTAATTAAAGAATTGTTCCTCTTAAAATATGCTTGTTAATTTTCACTTCTTCATTTTTAAAGGTATTTCTGCGACTGATTACCAAGTACACGATACCTGTCACTTGATAAACACATTTTCCTGACTGACTTGAATGCTGCAAATTCTTTTTATGAATAACTCTCATTATTGCATAGATCTTGAGTAAATTACTTCAATGCCATAGACTGTCACTATTGGTTTAGCACTAACCAATCACCGTCGGAATTTATTCAGACAAAAATTCTTCTGTTCACTGAATGGATAAGTTGTTACGTTGTGTAAAACCGATTTTGACATGTAAGTGAATTTATACAAGAGTTAAAAATGCTAGTATCCAGGTCTGCAAGAGTGGCAAGATATGTTCGTCCATACCTTCGCGACTTATACTACAGGCGCCTGCTCCAAGGTCCAGAAAAATACCGACCTCGTTCGGTCTGGAAGCCATGGAATTACGACTCTGAAATCGCGGCTTTTAGAAGTAGAATAGGTGAAAATATCGACGCTAGTACTCTCCATCTTTGCTTCACTGATAAGTCGTTCGCGTCGTATACTGGCCAAAAAGACGTCGCTGGTAGACTTCGTGATAATACAGCTCTGGCCGAAGCAGGTATTGTCTTCCATAACTGACACGATATGACTTGATTGACAACAAAAATGACCTTTCGGATGGGTTTTGTCCTCCTGAATTCTAAAAAAGTGATGATTTAAGAACAATTTAACACTTTCGTCTACAACAGGACGTCACATATCGGATACCTACATCAGGAACTTCTTGCGGAAATTCTATCCGCGTCTGCCAGAGGAATGGATAGCCTGTGTGGGAGACCGTCTTTTGTCCAATTCTGAATTGGCCTTGGTTGGTGCTCATCTTGGTATCGTCGATGTCCTTCAGTACGCCATGGAGGAGGAGCGGTCGGAGGAGTCCCCAATGCTGCCAGACATTACAGGGCCACCATCGCTCTGTGCCATAGCAACATCTTTTCTTGCTCTTATTGGGGCATTGGCTAGTGATCACGTATGCAGTGGTTTGTTTACGCATAGAATGTGGATGTTAATTGGCAAAAGTCAGATTTGTCGTGAATTTCACCTATTTTAATTTCTCAGACCATCAACTTTTTGTTGATAGGTGGAGCCAGTGTTTACGAAAGTCTCTATCACATCAAATACATGTATATCTGAGATGGCTCCGTAGGCGGTTTTGTCCACGTTTGGAAAAGCTGGGAAGCTGATGCTCCGGATAGTGGGGAGTACCTTACCTACAGCGCCATAATGCGAGAGACCAAAAACACCCTCATAATTTAGCATAAATGTGCAGCGTTTCTGTTTCTCTTAGCAAGCTGCGGACCTTTTTGTTCGGGATTTTATACTCACGCGACTGTTGGACCTGGAGTTCTGCGCCGACTTCCCCTTCCCTCTGCAAGACAAGCCGTTCACCTTGCTGGAGGGTGTCCTACGGTTTGATAATCGAGGTCCCCCTGAACCGAGGTTAGCTTTACCACCCTAAAGTTAACTGACAAAACTTGCTATTTATTAGGTTGCAGAAGCAGAGCAGCATGAACACGCTACTTGCGTGCTACCAAGTCGGCATTTACAGTGACCACCAGCTAGTCGGTGAAGGTCGGTTCAGTTACAAATAACTCGTTATCGGCTTCGCGTCAACTCACACCACTGCCATCACATTTATTTGTACTTTAGCACCTGGAGAAACGATAGAAATTGCGGAGAAAGAGGCGGCTCTACAGGCACTGCGGAACCTTTTTGGAATTCAAGACAACCGTCCATCGCTCCCTCTTAGTGGTCCATATATCCCTGTCGATAGAGTAGCTCCAAACCCGTCGCTAAAAGATTACCTAGGAGCGACGGTAGCCGAATAGGCAAATATTCCCCAAACTCGTTTGTATATAAATGCGAAAAAGTGGAAATTTTCCGGTTGTGGGGATGTAGAATTTACAACGGAGAGGGTCGGGAAGAATAGGTTAGTTTATATCCATTTCTAGACCATGGTCGCTGTTGTCTGGGTCGCTGCTACCACCACTTTCCTCCGAGATGTCCGAGACCACTGCTTCGTCACACACCACTTGTGAGGAACATGAAGATAGGTCGCACGCAGCGGGAACTTTCGCAGTCAGTTCAATAATTTGGTTGATTTTTCCAGCTAGGTGAAGAGAATAAGCTTCGGAGATAAGATCAGCCACATCGAAGTGACTGTCGTCTTCACACAAGACATTTAGAACTTGACAGAGGTATTCGTTTAGCCACTCGGCTATGTTGTACGCCTGCGTTTGTCTTGTGAGGCGTTGCGTAATGTAGGGAACGAGGTCTCGAATCTTCCTTGGCGTGTCCATCCCGCCACTGCATTGTTGTTCAGCAATACGTAAAACGGTCCAGGAACTGAACACTTTCTGTATGTATCGTGAGAGGGGGGTATCCATTTTTGCAATGCTAAGTGCTAAAAAGTAGAGTTCTGGGTAAGTATGTATTGCAAGGGTGCCTAGTAGAAATCAAGAAACGACCACGTGGCTAGGGTTAATGTGGTCTAGGGGGTGGGAGGGGGGAAGAGGAGTATGTTTCTTGAATAATGGCGGGGAGAGGGCAGACGTACCGATGCCTGCATAAACGGGGGGGAAGGACCGTACGAGGCGCCCGCCAGAGTGGGCTGCATGTTAGTGCTTACAGTTAGGTAAAACGCGCGATCAGCGTTAAGTATGGCTAGACAGAGGGCTTGAAAGGTTACCTTTTTAATAAGTCACAACTAAAATTGGCCAACATTTGCCGCCATATTTGAGGTCAGAAAGGGATTTTGTTCTGAAAATTCATCTTGCAAATCATCAGTTATTTATCAGCCATAATAGTTTTCACTTTTTAAAAGGAGGTACCACGAACTGAACAGTTTCAGTGATTAGCTATTTTTTAAACCACGCTGGTTCTTGATATCGCACCGACATTACACGCCCCACGGCATGGTCTTTAGGATGTGCTAGTAGAAGTCCATGCTATCTACACATTGGCAGTACATACGTATCATGAAACTGTGGCTTATTTGGGTGTCAAAAAAAGGTTTGGGCATCATAAATGCAGCATCGTAACTGCACCAGCATTACTGGACGGCATAATTACAGCGTGTTTATGTTATTGCAAATACTTTTCTTGAGCATGTAGCATACTTCAGTGATTTTTTTCGCCCATGTAAAATGGCTTGCGTAGCATCTTTTTTTTCAATTTTGAACAAAACTTTTGAGCAGCTTGTTTATTTTATTGCCTAACCTTGTTTTGACCAATTAGCGGTGGAATTTAGTTGAACCAATAGAAGATCGAGGCATTTGAACTGGCAACCTTACAAACGTGTACAGTTTTGCTAATCCCAATAATGGCACTTTTTAATGCGGTGTGTAAAATGTAGTAATTGACACTTTTCCATTTTACTGGAAATAATAATGTCTGATCTCGAAGCTGTGCTTGCTGATGTGAGCTACTTAATGGCGATGGAAAAAAGCAAAAACATCGCCACTAAGGCTCCAAAGAAAAATATTATTCCTGACTCCAGGTACTTCGCCTCTACTTTTTTGGACTTGAGTTTAGCATTCGAAGCATCATGGTTTCCTATTTAAGTAGACATGGAAAAATAACCTTCGAGAATATATTCCAAGAACGACTGGGTTGTCTCTTCCTCTTATTTTTAATTATATAGGTTTCATATTTTTTGTCAAATTCTGCAAATCACAAGATTCGCCTAATGTTCAACTTATTGAATTTTATGAAGCAGTATGCTCTTGTCGTCTACTCTTCTTTCCTCTAGATCAAAGATTTCGAGCTCATTGACTCCGAATGCGATCGGGTCAGGGAAGCAAAGCGAATTTATGACACTTATATTATGAAGGAATTGCTATCTAAAGTCCATGTACTTTGTTCCTTTTTTGAAACTCTCTTCTTAGCGCTTCCCTTCAGAACATGTTAGAAGTGTACAAAGCAAGTTAAATGAAGGAATGAAGTTTAATTCTGTTTCGCGTCAAATCTTTTCGGTAATCTGATCATTTGCTATTAATCTGGCATGCAATAGGTCTACATAGATGACTTAAAACAGAACATCAAAAACGTTTTTTATGAACCCTTTTTGAAGAGGTAATTTGAAATTGTGTCAAGCGCATTTTGTAGCAAACATTTTACTCTTTATTTACAGTGGATGGACGTGCAACTTAATACTACCGTAGGTTGCTACAGTCAGTGCAGATACTTTTTGGGTTCAAAAAATATGCAGACATTATCTCTTTTTTAAAAATTAGTTGACGATGTCAGACTTCAGCGTGCATAGAATCATTGGTAGAGGAGGATTTGGCGAAGTTTACGGTTGCAGAAAACTTGATTCCGGAAAAATGTGAGTTTTTTGCAGATTTTGCATGATAGAATCAAATCTGACTACTGATCCGTTTTCAAAACTGCTTTTTGCATAAGTATATTTGAGTATGAAACATTCGATTTTCACCCCAAATTTTGCATGGAACATACATAAATTTCTGCATTAGACTTAATACATAAGTTGCGATGACTTTTGTGGTAAAGAATAGGGCGGGGTACCAGAATATCCTGTTATAAAATGGTCTTCTTGCATAAAGGAATGACAGTTGAGTAAAGTAGCAAAGCTATTTGCTAAGTTTCTTTCATAGCACAGGACATCTACCACGATAAATCAAAGTGTAGCCAATGTAGGCGTCTAGCCAGAGCCCAAATTATCGGTGCTACTGGGCAGACGTGCCTGGGCTTAATTGGGGCGCTTGATAGATCGCGTAACCCTTATACGAAAGACTAACGCCAGCAGTCTGTGGTTGGGATCGGATCCAGCTGTTTGCGCTCAGAGATTTACATTAATCTAGTTTCTACTTTACCCATTTAGCGGTACTAGGAGATGAAGTTGTCATAGTGGAATGTGAGGAGAATTTGATCATTGACGATTAGGGACAGAAATATTTAAATTAAATACTACCTTCTCCACTCAAAACTTAGAAATGAATGGCCTCTGGTAGAAAAGAAAACGAATGCAAGGATGAATGCAATAGACACCCTATAATATGGTAGTTAAGCGGCTAACCATTTGTCATGGCAATACATAGAGAATAATTGAAAGATCCAGCATGGACGACTTGACAAATAAAAAAATTTAAATAGATTTCCCTTTAAACGGTTTCCAACGATTACTTTACTGAAACTTATTTAACGTGAATGTTTTGAAGTACATCGATTGCACTTCTTTTACTACAATTGGCTTGTTTCACTGAAAGATAGGCATGAGAGCAACGTCTCAGCAACAGAATCAAGAACTGCTTCCATGGAAAGGAGTCTACATTCGTCAGGAAATGGATTTTTCAATAACAAAGCGAATTTTAAAATGACCAAAAGTTTAGACAATTTCACAAAGTTTGTTTGCATAGATACCGTCAGATTTCTCTCATTCTACTTAGAATTTCTATCTTTTATTTCTGAATTTACCTTATTATTAGAAAAAACCTTCAGTTTTGAAGAGAACGTCAAAATCATTTGACGATTCTCGCGCAATACAATGAGTAAATAGAACAAGTGTTGATGTAATAACTATCAAAATTTGCACTTCTTTCGAAAAGGATCGAATTTCCCTTTAGTAGGTCAGTAATATGGCTTGAGTTTTATTTTAGAGGAAGAACGTTATTTTCTTTTGAAAGGAAAGTTTATGATTAGAGCTGTCTGTACCTATCAATTTAAGCTGGTAGTATGTTTTTACTGTTATCTTTAATTAGCACTTCCTTCCGGTTCGGTAAATCCTATTGCAAATAACTTATTCCTTTTTGAATAAAATTGTGATATTCTAGGAAAGTATCTCTTGTATTAAAAGGCGGAAATCGGTGTAAATTAAACATATCCTCATATATTGCTGTTATTGTGACGCAGAAATGCATTAGATGGAATGCATTTTTACGAAAGAACAGACAAACTTGGTAAGGCCCAAACGTTTGCGATACGCAGGTACACAGTAAAACCGCTGAATACGCCTCCTGGGCACAAAATGGAGGGATCAGTCCTGAATATGGTAAAGATTAGGCGCAGAATGTTGGAAACATCCTACCGATTGCTTTCAATTACGTTGCATCTCAGCTGTATTGTGAAAATATACTTTTGACAGTACTTGATGTTAAATGACTACACCTGTCATGGTTTATTCTTAGCACTCTTGCTGTTTCTTTTTAGTGCCCAGTTAGGATTGGTTTAGGGTGGGAGATTATGTGGCGGTTGTTCACAAGTATCCACCAGCAGACCAGCAATCAACAGTTGTAATACGAACTTCTGAAATTTATTATAAGTACCAATGGACACCAAACAATTTTTAACTTTTTTGTCGTTGTTTTATAAATATTCTCTGTTTGGCTAGGAAAACCCTAATTTTACCTATCGTCTGGCATAAGTTAAACAAAACCACGTTCAGCAAATCTAAGGTCAGCGGCATATGTTTTGCAATCGGAAGCCAATCCCACATCCTGCCCTCCTTTCCCTCGATCATACTTCACAGGCATTTCAAAGTGTACCTTGAATGAGGATGGGAATTCACGACTAAATATACTCTATATTTTTGGAAAGATTAACATTTTGCAGAGCTACGCGTTTTGGTCATGCTTAGTGTATATAAAATACTCACCACGCGTTAATAAGATTATCAAAAGTTCATAAAATATCGCTTAATTCCCACTCTAAGTAAAACTTTGTCCATAGGACGTCAGCGACTTTAAATACTTTTTCATAGTTTTGTAGTACCTTGGGTCACATGCACCTAAAAATTGGCATTTGTGACATTGTTTAAAAGGCATCTCTTTGAAAACTAGAGTAGTTAGCCTACCAAAATGGTCATTTCTATAAAACGCTAAAACATTTCATTACATTTCTGACCGATTCAATACCCGCCATAGATTGCGTAAAAACACTTAAGTAGCCAAAGTTACATGCACAAAGCTTGACTAAATAATTAATAGCTGTTATCTTCTAAGGTTGTTCTTTTGTGGTTACAAGTTTGATTAGTCAAAAGAAGGGCTTTTTCTGCTCACCTCACTGGAGTATATTCGGGATTATCAGAGTACTAGAACAATATCCCCATATGTGCTACTTAGAGGGTGCTCCAAGCTTATAGTCAAGAGCTGCAAGACTTCAGAGGCTAAAACTTCATTCATTTTGTCTTAAGAAAACCTTTTAAAGATTAATGATCTGACTAAGACAAATTGTCTAATGAAAACTTAACTGGTGGTGGAATTAGCTGCATAGTCTTTGGCACACACTCACATGAATAACCGCACTTCTTCTCGCAATTTCTCAGATTAGATCCAAATTAGATCGTGCTTATGGATAGCGAAACCTAATCAGATTATGTCAGAATGGCGGACACCGTTGGAAAAGTGTGTTCAATACCTCGTAAACAAAATTCGTCAGAATAATGAATGAGATTAAGCTCCCTCTTTATGCTCCTCGATAAATACTATTAATCAAGTTAAGTTTGTAGTGGTTTGTTAGCTGTGAAAAGGACATTAGCTCGACCATATATCATCTTGTGTGGGTATAGGTACGCCTCATTAACAATCTGTGAGTTTAGCGGGTAGTTTTGAAGTGCAAATTACAAAATTTGGCAATCAAGCATGAGGACTTTAAGAAAGTAGTAAAACTGCCATTGTTCAATCGTAGAAATGTAACACAAACTCGATTCGAGTCTCGGTAGTAAACCCTTATTTCATTGTGCATTAGGAAATACAATGTAACACTGCCCAATAACATCCATTTATTTTGAGTTAATGGGAGGAGCAAGCGAAAATAAAGGTGAGTTGAAAGTCTTAAAAAAGCTTTCGCTTACGCCGCTATCATTTTTTAGTAGTAACACTAGCTACCAGCGTGACACACGTAAGCAACGCCCTGATTTTGTTATCCGAGCCATGTGTCACAAATAGGTGACACGGTCATTTAACGGTTTATGATAACCGCATGATCCCCTTGAACTGAGGGTAATTATATTTCTTTGATTTGGAAGCATCATTTGGATTAGTCAATTCTGTTCTATTTGAACAATGAAATGCCAAGTGTGTGATTGAATATTTTCCTTAGTGAGCTTCTAATATTCTAAATATTGGGGTTAGTTCTAAGGCTCATCACCCACGTTTAGATAGGACGCAAATGTAGCAATGGATCAAGAGTTCCACAATTTTTGAAAAGATTGCCGAAAAATACAAAGTTCTGCGGTCGAAGGCAAAGCTAAGGCCAATAGATGAGAGCTTTAGAGAAAACATATGCATCTGTCCCATTTAAATTTGAGTAAGATGACATTTAAAATGTCAATGAGACATTTGAATTTAATGAGCATCCATAACTTGACCGAATTGGAATGGATTGCTTCTAATCTACACTATCAGTTATAATGTCAAGTCTCTAGTATAGCCAACTGAAGAACTTGATAAGGGAGATTGAATGTAATCAAGCAGTCTAGGGTCTTTATTGATAAAAAGGGTAAATCGTTGTCTCATTACTTCTCAAGGAAAATAAATGAGGGCCAGACCTGAAATCTCTTGCCCTTTTAACCTGATCCTTTCGATAGCATTCTAGAGCGGTGGAGCCGTACATATTCACAAACACCCTATTAAACAACTAGCACCAGTCCATGATTATTCGATATTACTGCTCTGTGTTTACCTCCAGTCCACGAAAACAACATTTGCATATAACCTTCTAGATGCTTCAAATTATTACCAACTTTGTTGCATTCTTGCATCAAAGAGAATTTTGCTTTATCACCGGCAGACCTAGTTTAGTATCTGTTTTAAATTCACGACCGTGATCTCGTGGTCCCGTAAATCAAAATAAGCTTATTATTATTTGCTCAGATTAAAATTTAACCCCGAAATTTGATTTTTTTGAAATGAAAATTGTGTCAGCAAAGTAGAAGTTGTTACAAAATTTTGTACATTACAAATCAGCCAAGAAGTAGTATTAACAAGTTCGTTACCAGCGTCACTCACACGTGGAACTTCAATTTCCGGAGCCAAGCCCGTATTTGTTACATTAGACAGTCTCCACCAGAGAGAAATAAATTGGTTTGAGAACCAAAAAACCCAAATAAAAGATTGGCTAGCTTTTAGAACTTCAGTATTTGAACCGTAGTTGACGATTTTTCCTCTGAGATCCTGGTGCTCTCATGCAAGTTCTGCCGGAAATACATGATTAAAATATGGGAAACGATGGTCAAATTATACTTTTTTACTGTTCTTATAGGTTTGTAAAACAGTATTTGCAATCTACTGAACATCTGATTGCAAATTTTTTTCGCGAATGGGATCGCCATACCCTTCCAGTTGCCAAACTAGATTCGTTTCCACCCTAATTGATTCCCTTCAAAGCACGAAAAAAGGAGTAGAAAATAAGTCATAAATTCTCTTTTTCTCCCCGTAGGCGTCAATTTTAGCCAGATTGACCTTGATTAAAACTCTTTATCACAAGGTTTTTCATGCATAGTGCAGGTGGGTCCCTGTTTGTTTCCTTTTTCGTCTTCACCACCAGGATCTACTTGACTCCTCCGATCTTAAGCCAACTGCCAGTCCACTTTGGCTTCCTTCTATTGCAATACTTTTTTGTACTGACCGCAATGTAATTTTTAAATGAATATGAACTCACCCTACTTGACAAAACGCTGTTAAATAAAGCGGGTGCCAATCGTTCTACACTTATTTAAAAAAAATAATTGAGTGGTTTAAATCGCCTTATTACGAGTAGGATAATGCAGTACTTTTCGCATGCATTGTGTTTCCGGTTTGCCGCTATATATTTGCGACGTTTTATGGTGTACCGAAATTGCATTAATTTGCCATTATTTTGTTTCTTTCGACAACGAATGTCATAAATTTTCAAAATACTGGGAACAATTAGTTTAATGCCTGCCAAGGTGTTAATCCAACAATTTACAGGCCCTTACTTAATTTAGATTGTTTTCAGCTTATCAAACTTTTTTTAAAAATTTTGGGTTATTTTTTAAGGTTTAGCATTAAATCCGGAGTTGTCCAACTTTTTCCTTTTCAAATCGAAAATGTTAATCAGGGTCATGAAGAAGAAATTTTCTGAAAAGTCACTTATTAGTTTTAGGATAGGAACGGATGAATGGCCTAATGCTATTTATTTGTTTGTCTCCGCAAACATTCCAGCATCTCGGCCACCAAGAAATTATCGTCTCTTATAAACACTCCCAATAATTACAAGTACCGACTTGTAAGACTGATTGTATATCAAAATCAAATTGAGCTTTCAAAATACAAAATATCAGATGGTGCGCCGACATTTTTTAATCGGTTGCGAATCTATCCCATCTGCTTACATGTAAATATTAGGAGTTTGTTGTTAATTGGTGGCTAGCATTAAAAAAACATTTTTGTGGACATTAAGTGCCCTTCTGTCACGATATACCACAAAAAATCTCATATAAAAAACCAATCTAACTGGTTTCAAAAGTCACAATATGCTTGAAAAGATGTTGCATTTAACCATTCTGCTATCCTAACAAAAATCCGAATTAGTTGAAAGACCTTTCCTAGGGTATTTTTAAAAAACCCCAAAAATATTACAAAATAATCTCCAAGGTGGACCTAAGTTCACAACTAATCTATTTCAGATGCCGCAGGAAAGACCGCTTGGTAGGGCGTTTTTCTCTTCAAAAGTAAACGGCAACAACAACGAAGGTACTAGGATTTTTGCAATTAAATCTAGTCACAGCGGATGAGTCTTCTATTAGGAGTGAAACTGATACAACGAGAGGAGTAGGAAAATGAAAACCTCCCTCCCATGTGTATAGGAGCACTGGGAATTCATTGCAGCTGTCAACGTGCTCGTCGCAAATTATTCACAACCATATCTCGATGCAACGTTTCGCTACCCGAGTCCACGAGTGCCAATTTTTGCCTCACCGTGACAGCCTCTTTATGATAACAACTCGATTTATGAGTGCTATAACTTTTTCTCGCACTAGACCTTTACAACACCTAGAATCAAATACCAACTTTAAAGTCAGTTTATGTATTAAGTAGTTCATTGAATTAAACCACTTTGGGGCAAAATATCTTAACTACGTTTACTAATTCGGCTCGAAGCTATTTCCAAATTATGTTTCTTGGGCAATAAGTGCTGTCTGAGAATGAGAAGATATCCAACTTCTTCTGTTTTGTGAATTGATGCATACTGAAAGCCATTTTATTAAGAAACAACTGGTTTGAATTATCCACACCATTTTTTCTCAAACACGTAGTGTGGCCTGCTTCTTTATTATCTGACCTAAAAAGCCATTACTACCTCTACAATCAGCATCATTTAGTGGGTAAATAAATAAACAAATAAGCATGTCAAGCTTTGTAGTAAGTTATTTAAAGGATTGCTCGTTTGGCATTTCGGTAACTAACTTAGCACCTTTGTGGAGGGCCACAAGGTACGTACTGCTTTACATGGAGTAAATTCCCCATTTTATTAGAATCTTAAAAGCGGAAAGTGAATAAGCAGGACTCAGGGTAAAAAAGAGCAGGAACTCAAGCTTATGATGAGAGATGCGACTAATGGCATTATAACCTAAAAGCGGACACAAGTGACCCTGATATAAGGGACAATATTTGGTCTATTAAGGGGTAACTGTATATGGGGGTGACATTTCCAACACATTTAATGCAAATTTAAGAAAAATCAAGGGGAAAAATAGTCACGAATTTTCAAAAATTAAAATGTTTGCAAGTACACATTGAGTGAAAGTCATAATTAGAGGTACTTTGACTCACAATAAAGGACATTTGTCTTTTCCTTTGCATAATGAAATTAGACAAAATAGATCACTGCCATTCCACGTCTATACTATTGTCGAAGGCTCAACTGATGTGTCTGCAAGGTGACTTTATTTAAGCATTAATCATTAACAGATAAAGAATGTCTGTCACTTATTTGTGACTCCAGCTCGAGTTTAGGAAGTAAGAGCGTCACACATACGTGACGCTGGAAATGTGCTAAAAAAGTCACGAACATAAGTCTTAGGAGAGAATAACGGTAATCCTTGGTTAGGTAAATAAGGATCTGAATAGGTCATGCTAATAAAAATAAACTAATTAGTCGATATTGAAGAATTCGCTGTTTTCCGCAGAAAAGTGAAAATTTGGTTAAAATCCTATTTTTAAAGAGACTGCCTTATGGATGAAATGTTAAAATGTTTAAGATGTGGAAAATCCGATTTGTCGCTGATCCACCATGGTACAGTCTATGGATATTGCGACAAAATAATTTTTAAAAAGTGCTTTTTAGGTATGCAATGAAGTGTCTTGACAAAAAACGAATCAAGCTGAAATCTGGCGAATCAATGGCCCTTAACGAGCGAACTATTCTTTCCAGAGTTAGCTCCGGGGTGAGTTCATTTCCCTCCTTTCACCTTCGCCATTAAGCTCTTAAATACTACATCATTCTACGGTTAAGTTGATAATCCACCTTCTGTGGGTTGGGTGCAGCTTACCAAACAAACTTTATAGTCCAATTTGAGGGCAAAAGAAGATGGCTTGAGGTTTTTTTGCGAGAGAGGAAAGATATGATGGAATTAAGTTAGAGCAATCAACCTGCCATTCTTAACTCTTTTAGTAAACAGCAAAAGTGCTCTAATAATAACAGGGCTTGAAGAATTTCTTGCCTGACATGCACGCTTGTTTCAACATCGGCTTAAAAATAATTACATTTGTTGTGTGGGCAGGTTAACACGAACTCCTCCCCATCATTTATATTGGCAATCAGTGGCGTTTCTTGAAGAGTGGTAATGTAAATTAAAATATTCCATTCAAAAGTCGAAACATTTTTGATGCTTTGTGCTCGGTCACTCCTGACACCGCAAAATAACATTTCGTATGCATTCATCTCTATTCAAAAATGGCTTTACGCAACTTTTGGCGTCTCCAAAGTCATTAAAATTTACCGCTTAAACATGGAAAAGCTATTAATAAAACAGATCTTGCTTGCTTAATTAGAGCAGACAACAAGCTGAAGGCATTAGTGGTAGTCGTTTTAACGTTTGCCTAAAATTTCCAGAAATTCTTAGCACAAAGGCAAACACTTGTATCTTTAAACCTTTTGGTTTATCATTGATACAGATTACTCAACGTTCAGGTAGTTTAGTCGGCAAAACATTTAAAATTTCCCTAATTCAGGGTCAGTGAAAAGTGCCTCATTTTATCAAATGAGGAGTTTTGCATTTTTTGCATTTTTCAAAATATGCATTCTTAAAAGTTCCTCAAACGTTTTGTACGAGTGTTCTGTGTTTGCGCCTTGAGTTATTGTTGCAGCTGGGAACGGAGTCAGTTTATTACGATTGGACGAAAATCTGAGAAAAAAGATATGGGAAAAGTATATGCAAAGTGTGCAAATTACTTTTGGATCAAAGGAAATGTAACCGGGACGATTAAGGTCATTTGAGGCAGATAGATAGAGGTCACGTTAGCGGTACTTTGAATTGAACCTATAATCTAACCTTCGCAAAATAAGTAATAAATACCCATTTAAGTTGACACGTCTAAACTGCTGCCCCTGTTAATTTAAAACGGCGCTCCACACTGGCAGAAAGGAAGGCTGTTAGTAGAATTTTTAAATTTTATTATAAAGTTTTGAGAAACTGGTATTCATAAAACCGAAGGGTTGACCTCCTTAACACTTTTTGGTCAGACACAAAAGAAAAACTTTTGAGGATATTCTGCCTCTTAATATCGTTGAATATATTCTACGCCTGCCCTTTTTCACCAAAACGAGCCAATATTTGTAGAAAATATATGCGTACGATTTAATTTGTCCTACAAGAATATAAAGCAAAAACACTGAAGATTATCCCGTTTACATTGTATCTACAAATTTACACCACCACTCATTTACTTTTTTGGGTGCCATACTTATTACTTGCATGATTATTAAGCATTTATTTCTCAAACGATTCGGCTGCTAAGTTGCTAATGGAGTGACAAATTAGCAACTTTAAATAAAAATAGGAGAACGTCTCATCTCTCCACTTGCAGATTCGACAAGATTTCACACCCAAAATCCCTTTTTGTAGAATAGTAAGGCTGTTTGTATTAGTTCAGAAAATATTGCAGTTTCAAATAACTTTTGACAGGAGGAAACAACTCGCCAAGTGTACATAAAGCCATTTTGTCCCAAGCAAATATCAAATAAAAACTGAAGTAATGCATATACTTTTGTACATTTGAGGACACTATTTAGACATGAGCAATATTAAGCAACCTCATTTAATTGGCATAGGGAAGTTGAAGTCATAATTATGGGAAGCTCCAGTCGGTCAAATTGCAAGCCAAAACTAGCTGGATTGGCTAATTTCGCCAAATGCTATGCTTAAAACAGATGTAATCATATGATGCAATCCTTTACATCTGTACACTAGGCACTGGAGCAGTGGTCGAATGTTCCAAAACTGTCCACTTGTTAAGATGGATTTTAATAGATGATTTTGAAATGATTAACCTGCTAAGTTGCATAGAGAGTATTAATTTAGAAGACAGTGATGCCTGTAATAATGTTCTCAAGAGAAAAGGACAGAAAAGTTGGTAGTATTCTTGTTTCCAGGTTAATTAGGCTGGGTAGGCCTGAGCTACCCATGGTGTAGTCTAATTATCCTGCTGCCTTAAGTAATTACTAAACGTCAATTTTTGATTTTTAAACTTTTCTGCTAAGAAGTCTTGCTTACTTGTGCATCCGAACCCGATATCCCTCTTACGCATGACAAGCAGCCCTCCTACTCACACTTAAACACTGCATTAGAACGTCACTAATACATTGCGTGACCTACTCCTGAAGACAAAAGAAAGTGAAGAACAGAAAAAGTGCACCATGACCAACCTAGAAATTTGGCGCATCATAAACAGTCCTTTTCTTTTTCAATAGGACGCCTCACCGTTCATAGTGTGCATGACCTACGCATTCCAAACACCCGAAAAACTTTGCTTCATCTTAGATTTGATGAATGGTGGTGATCTGAATTACCATCTCAGTCAACGAGGCACCTTCAACGAAGAGGATGTGAAATTTTACGTTGCTGAGATAATTCTGGGGCTGCAGCATATGCACGAGAGAAACATTGTGTATCGTGACTTAAAGGTATCCTGCATACTCCCTTTTTTGCCATAAAAATGGGCTATTTTGGCTCCATTTTCTTAATTATTTTAATAATCCGCGTTTATTTTCCCTTCTGGAAATTCAAAGTAAAGGGAATATTGGTAATCTATTTGATGTGCTGGAATAATTACAATTTCCCTACAAGCCATTTTATCATTTTCTGCCATACTCATCTTAATTCACACTTTTTGATTGACTTACCCTTGAAATTAATTAAAGATAAAGGAGGTAATGCAAATTCATTGAGTAAATAAAGAATGCAGTGGTAGCTATGTGAAACTGTTTTAGCACCGCCAGATGATAGCTAGAGATATGTTTGGTTTTATGTGCAAGCGCATCCCTCCAAGCTACTTAAAAAGTGAACTTATTGTAGAAACGTTGTTGGTAGTGTATGACACGCTTTAAAATGCAACAGTTTCCTTGAATTATTCAAATTAAGTTTTAAAAAAACCTTTCTAGGTTTTTTATTGTCTGCGCATTTCATAGATGAGTATCACTGAGAATTGTAAATACCCGACAAATGTGTTGATGGTCATCTTACGTGAACAAGCTTGGTATGATTTGGACGAAATGCTAGGCAAACTTTACATGTGTGTCATTTCGGTGCCAAAAGCGGAAATTTTATATTCCAAATAAATAACATGCCCTCCATTTTCACATAAATGAAGAGTCGCATTTACAATGGAGTTTTTCGTAAATACTTAAGTGATAGGATTATTTTTTCTCATATAAAAAGTTTTAAACTTCAAAAGTAGAACAAATTCTCTGAGTGATTTGCGAAAGTAATGAATAAATCCGGCTGGATGCCCCCTCTTTGTTAATGTTCTTAAAAAGTTGGAAAATCATTAGCACATAGCAATTTTGATTAAATCAAATCACCACTTGTTATTGTGCCCAATGAGTCTTTTACACACAGCCAACGGATGAAATTCCGTTTTCGGGAAAAAAAATTCCATTGAGTCGTCAGTTTATGAAGCGTGAAACGCATTTCTGGCCATGATACCGATGTTTTTAAGGGTCTTGGGAAATAATAAATGAACCTAAAGCCAGTGGAAGTGACTTTAAACATCAAATCAGGTTGGAATTTTGGACTTTTAAGTGCCTAATAATATGCATAGCTATTTTGAGCTGACTAATCGAGTTAATGATAATAGAAAGTCGAAAAATTTGCTTTTTAATCCGTACACAAACCTATTGGATATAATAAACACCATAATGATTGGTTGCCTAAGTCTATTAAATTTTAGCATATAGTTTTAGTGTCCAGTGTTCCGCCCTGACTACGAATTAAGGCATGGTAGCCTAATGTTAATCTTCACTGTCATTGCTCTGTCATTTGAAGCATACCTCACAGTTTCCTTAAACACCACGGGGTTATTCCTTCCTCCTGATTCGGGTATTTAATAGAGATAGATGCCTAAAGACGATAATATTTTGGTATTACATCCGCTATGAGTCTCTGCACGTACAATCATTCCCGACGAATACCTTCTTCCTATGAAATTTGTGCATAAAGTGGATTAATTATTGGCGCTGCTGATATCATATTCGAGTCATTACTGAAGACATTAGGGTGGCAGTGTGTTTATTGTAAACACATGGAGTGACTTAAAAAGCAGTTGGCTTCAGGAACATTGGAGGGTAGTCATCACTTCAGCTTTATGGCTTACAAACAGGGAAAAGAGAACTGTCTTAGGTAAACAAAACACATCTTCTTTAGAGTTACGTTCTTGGTGCTTCTTTTGATTACTCTTGTACCTTGAGTACATTAAATGCACTCATACGGAAGGAATTAATCCAATAGAGTGACTTTCTTTCACCACGAGGAAACCTTAGAATTCACTGATAATGGTAGATCTCATTGACTCACATGGATCCTAATTCCTAAATTCACTGCGGATGTTCATTTACTATGCGTTACCTGAGAATGGACGACGTTCTACAGCGAACACATTTTGCATGCCAATCTTTTTTAATCAGACTTATGACCTTAAAGCAAAGCTATTTAAAAGGTCATCGGACCGTGGCTGGTATTCATTCTTTTATCTAGCGTGGTGATCAAACAGCGGAGATTGAAAAGATTCTTGCAGACTAAAATAATAGTTTAAACAACTACTGTTTAGATGCATGACCACAAATTTAAAAATACTATTGAGAAGCCTGTTTATCCCTACTGATGAAAATCTCGTTTAAATTTGTCTTGATAATTCACAATGGCGTCTTCAACCTTTTCCTAGCCCGCTAACATCCTGTTGGACGAGAGTGGTCACGTGAGGATAAGTGATCTTGGGCTGGCCTGTGACGTGTCAGAGAGTTGGCCGACGGCTGCGGTGGGCACACAGGGCTACATGGCACCGGAGGTATTACAGAAAGGCGTCCCCTACGCCTTCTCCGCCGATTGGTACTCCCTTGGCTGCACTGTCTACAAACTTCTCGTGGGCTCGTCTCCCTTTCGTCAACACAGCAGCAAAAGACGCTACTGCGAGGCCCCAATCGGCAGACAGAAGGTGAGAGTTATTTAAATGTGTAAGTTTTGAGTTCTGCTGAGGTGTTCACTGGTGTCAATTTCCTCCCGTGCCATGCTTCAATTTGCATTTAGTTCCTAGCCTTTTACAATCCGGAAGGGTATCGTGTCTTCGAACCACGGCAGCAACTTGAATTTGTTACAAACTAGTATCATTACATTGTCGGCATTTACGCTAAGATCAAGAGTGGATTCCCTGCTGGAGATCGGATTGATTTCAAGTATCCGTTAATCTAAACACTTACCGAACCCGGGGCCATTCTGTTTATCCACCAAGAAATCCTGTTCTTTTTAAAAGACTTTGTCAGTGCTGTCACTGATGCAACAGTAACAGCGTCAATATAGGCCAGCACAGTCAAATATCATTCTGTTACTTAAACCTCTTGTGGGTGCTGCCGTCGAGACCCTCCTTGACTACTCTTATGCTTTGAGTACGTTGCAACAGCGCGAGGTCGTAGGGGATAACATACAATGACCTACCGCCACTGGTGACAACATCGAATTCCCACTAAAGTACTGGATTTTTTTTTGATTTTAATAAATGAATACGAGGTTGTGGCACTGTTTGCTTTAAAGCAAAAATGGCTAACAAAATGATTAGTACAAAGTTGCTTTTATGTCCATTCTTCCGTTCCTTTAATGTTCCATTGTATGCCATCCAGTTACCTGACCGGGGTACCATCATATTCTTGTTATTTGGAAAAGTGACCAAAGGTAAAATTTGGTCACACAAAATCCGATCCCACTTCATTATCGTCTTTACACAAGGCCTAAGACTAAGATTTTTACTTGAGGTTGCCACAACTAATAATGAATTTTTTTTGTAGGCCTTTATAAATTTATACGAGAGGGTAGTGGCACAGGCCGTGTGTGTACAGTCCTGTGTAGAGGCAGAATCACAGTAGACTGGATAACCCTATTTGACCAAAGATTCAAATGAAGATAATATTCAGTTACAGGCAGACCAAGGGCTCGTTCTATGGCTCCTACTTGCCATGAGGATAACCAAATATATTCAACATTCTTGTCATTAATTTGAATAGCTCCTATAACATTGCCAGTTTTTATTTTGTCTCAAAATAAATACAAATAGCAATATTGAAGCCCATATTTCAAATAGCAAAAAAAAAAACATAATTGTTTTATATCATCCGAAGTGGTGTATTAGAGTTTTTGCAAAGATTGTTGAAGGGTCCATTTTAGAAAAAAAGCGCTGCATAGTGCATCTAAGAGTCCTTATGCAACCAAAAAGGAATTAATGTCAGCACAACGTTTCTGATTGGCTTTGTGCAGTCAAAATAATCTGATCTTGATAGAATGCACAAAAACAAGGATGTACTCAGCCCTGCTAAATGTCAACGTCTGCAAAAATCCAAAAATGTTAATTCCAAAAAAGACACCTCAGAAATCATGATTAAAATTTCATACACAAGTTTTAATAACGCATAGCGGACTTACAAGGTTTTTTTATAAGATCGGAACTTTTTTTATTCCTCTCACAAAGAACAAAGGATTAGTCTCCTCTTTACATTTTTTTGGACCAGTTAAGTGTGTTCACTCTTACTGTACGTTGTCCTGATTCAACTCGGAACTTCCGTACATGCTTTAAGATCGTTTAGAGAAGATGCACTTTTACAAGGTCCATTCATCTCAATTTGATTCGCTTCTCTCGGGATAATAATCTCCCCATCGAATCAGGTGAATGTGATTTAAGGTCGCTTCCGTAAAAGTTCCTTTGAATTAGGAGCGTGTTCCCCTTTTTGCGATACAGACTGTCACAAATTACTAATTAGAAAGCAGAAATAACCACTTTTTGGCTCTAAATTGCATTGTGCGTATTAAAAGAAACTCAAAATAGCCCAAATGAGCCCAAAAAACGATATTTGCAAATTGTTAAACATTGGCTATAAAAATAAAAAGTAGATTAAATTTGCTTTTGTCCAAAAATTGGGCCTTAGTAAAAAGATAACACTGGTCTGATAAGGCTTTCCCGTTTAGAAGCCTGTTATTTTAAGACAAATAGCTTTCATTTTAAAGTTTGGTAAATTCCCCGAAATTTACAGCTAGGCAAAGATAATTTAGATGCTTTCTGACAACTTTTAATGCCTTTCAAAAAAGCAAAATAACCGGAGCATTGTTTTAGTAGAAAGCAACATACTATAGTGAAGACAACTAATACTTCTGCCTGATTTTGATTAGTTTTTAAAAGATTTTTTACTGCACTGTTACGGAACTTTTAGACTCTTGAGATAACATTGGATTCCAAGACATCTTGGCTCCTATTGAGGTCTAACTGAAGCGGCAAATGCGAGGGTAGTGGCATTTGGCCATGTCTGTGCACGTCATCTGGCAAGAAACCTGACCATTCCTGCGAAAAATGTAGTATGGGATCGGTCAACATCCCCTTATTCGCTTTTCTAGGGCAGTTGGGTGCGCCAAGTGCATATGTACATCCGGTAAGGGGTTACCTGTGGCTAGATTTTGCGGTTTTCTGGTCGTGACAAGCGCAAAGTTAACGGCGAGTGGACTTTTTAACGTCGTATGTATCTTTACAATTCATCCTGTAAATTTCCAACAGAAGTGAGGTGCATCTTTAAAGTACTAAGGCAAAACAAAATAAAATATTATATTTTAAATGCCTTCTTAATGTGCTTAACAAAAACCCACTTTTTTCTCATTTCATTACGTGACTCATCAAAGAGAGTCTATTTTTTTTCATTTAGCTAAGCATATACCTAGGATGATCTTCACTTGGAGTCAGAGAGTATCATTATGTGAGCTCATTCTTGCTCTTCCACCCCCAGGAGTATTTCAGTCCAAAGACTGAAATTTTGATTGCAAGGAAGTTTGCACTCTTTCCATTATAAGATTTGATAAGTCTCTTCCTCTTGTTCCTTTTTTTTAAACCAAACTGCTGAAGGATCCAGGCGATGCCAACCAAACAAAATAGGAGCTCTTTTAGTTTGTCAAAGAGCCGTTAATTTATTCCTTGGTAAACTGGTGAATATTTCCCGTTTACTACCACGTGCGTCAAAATCTAGAAGATGAAAAATCATCCTAAAGATTTTCATGGAGCAATTTTTAAAATATGCTTTGGAGGACTTTCGATTAATTTTTACTGGAGTGCAGACACACTTGAGTCGGATTTTTACAAATGGTGCGTGCGAAAAATGTGCAGCATCAATAAAGCTACATACGATTGCGTTTTTAATAGAAAAGTCAGTTCTTTAAATACTTTATGACAAGTAGGTTGTGAAAGTCTGGTCCACGATAAGATAATTTTCTTTGTAATCACAAGTGATGCATACATCCTCACTGTCACCCTCCACCACGGTTAAAATTTCTTCTGTAATTTATTGGTCTAAGCTAGCATGAATCTTTTTTAAAAGTTATCCCTTATTGCGTCTTCATGCGTATCTCTGTAATTATACCAAATTTTATTGCGCTTAAAATTACAGGAAATGTCAAGTCTGCTATAATCAGCCCTATCAAAATGATAGGGCTGATTGTACGTGAATGCATGGCACTGAATACGACGTTACAAAAGCATACAACTTGACGACTACAGATGATTTTTTGACAAATGTTACTCAAAAACCGCATCCATTAACGTAAGTTATTCTCAAAATAACCAAACTGAGACATTTATGGAAGCATTTGCTGCGTTTCTTGGGAGTAAAGCTGTTTTATTCAGTAATGGTGCGCTTTTAGAAGGAATTTCCTAGTCTTTAAATTGAGCAGATAGACAAGACATTAATTCTCATCCTAAATTTTAACATTTGTAAAAGGATGTGTTTAAAACCGAGTCTACTGGACCAAGAAAGGAGTGTTTAGTTAGGTTCTTTGGTTCTTAATCACGAATCCTGCAAAAAGATGCATATTTTTTTTCACACTAAGTGCAGAGATGACGTAATGAAGATAACTTTTAAGCCATTTTTGAGACTTCTGATGCTTTACACTTCTGTTGACAAAGTATTTTGATTAATTTACATGATCTTTTAACTTAGCTAAATTCACTCTTAATTTAATATATATATTTTTTAATGGCTGTTTAAATAACGACAGGCGCAACTACCTTAATTTTTACTTACAAATGAGGCGCTTCGTAAGCAGACAAAAAATCAGTTCATTTAGAACTCATTGAGATGTCACACTTTCAAAGTGCCATTAATGGGTAATTTGCACCAATAGCGGCAGATTTTGTTAATCTCTCTATCTTTTGTGTATTCGAAAGAAAGATAATAACACTGGCGGACCCTGCCATTTTGAGACTAAATGCCATTGCCATGCAAAATTAAAGGCCCATTGAGTAGAAAAAGAATTGTAGTTTATTATGAAGAAGTGGGCTATTATGTGGAAAGTTTAAAATTGGAAAGGCAAATTTTGCATTTCGGACAGCAATTATTGCAATACGTGGATAATAAATGTAGGAAGCAGTTTTTTCCGAAGCATTCATTCCAAGAAAACATTTTTACTACTTTTGCAATAATAGATGCGCAGTGAATGGGGACAATTTTAACATAACCAATGGCAACCAATTATCATATGAAAAATATTTACACTAGGTGATCTTGAAGTCCTAATGCAGTTAAGGTGGGAATGAAAAGTAAAGTCTTGAGGAGACTCAGAGGTTTGGCAAATTGCGCCGTTTGCACTGCCGGTTACACAAATCTCTAACAAAATTTGCTTTATAGCTTTTATTCTAGTGATTCGAAATACCATTTGCTTATTGCTTGACGCCTTGGAAGCAGCAACCAAAGTTTTAGGAAGGTCTGCAATCGGTTTTTCTCCACCGCTTAGGACCCCATACTGACCTGTATTTTTAAGCTAATGAAAGATCCTACGGGAGGTATAGCTAGGTTCTATAAATTATTTTTGAGCAGCCCTAATTCTTTTTGGAACTAAATAAGTAAATAAAGTCATATGTAGTAGTAACCAAGGCAATCTACAAATATTTCCTGATAATAAAATAATTATGCGAATAGACCCGAAGGTGTATCTGTAACTTGCTTTGGTTAGAAAGTGGTCTTCAGTGCTTAAAGCTGATAGAAAAGAGGAGTGAAGTTTAAAATTTGTCTCTATAACTAACCTGGCTCCCTACAAATATCCTAATATTTAGTTGAAAATTCCCACAGGTTCAAACGGATTTTGGATATATAATGAGAGATGACAATGAATCAAAACACTAAGAATGCCTTTAAGAAGGCTCTGAGCAGTTAACGGGCTACAAATGAATATCACTAGGAGTTTTATCCTGAATTGCATTGATTGGTCCAACTCTTAACAAAATAAGACAGTACATTGGGAATTTTTACCAAAATTGATGCAAAATTGAACGTTTTTTGCAAAGTATTTGGGATTTACTGCATAATTTACTGTTTTGACATTTGTCTGATATCTGTGCAAATTTTATCACGCAACTCACGTAAAATAGCCTAAATTCAAAATAAAACTACCCCAGTTGTCAATCGTTGTCGAAAACAGACGGCAACGCAAATTTACACATGGGGAAAGGTAAGGGTCATGGGAATTAGATCTTAATATTTAAAGAAAATAGCCTCATCAGGTTCTCCATCTGGAGAGAAAAGAATTGGAAGAACTCATGTTCAGAATGTACTATATAAGCAATTACGGCATTTCAAATATGCACAGTTGACTAATTGAAAGGCAAAACACCCTTACATTCGGTTTTTGCTTCACAAGGAATAAAA